ACCTGGTCATTTAGAGAGTGAAATTCATCCACAGTTTGGGCTACCCACCTTTGAAACAAGTAGCTAATACACCCGTCTCGTGGCACGTACGGGGCTGGAGCTGAGTGGTGGGGCTGCAGGTTCAATGAGCATGCTTCCTATGTACTTGGACTCCCAGCGATCCGACAAGTGGATATGTACTTTTTGGTGATTCTTGGGTCATGTTTTTGGCAGAACATTTCCATTTTGTTCTTTCCTGGAACGAACATTTGAAGCCAAGCCTACAGCATGTAAACACTCAACCGGCAAATTTCGGTAATACATTAAAATTAATAATATATATAATATATATATATATATGTATATATATATACGTATATATATACACGTATATATATATAGACATATAAATATATACATAATCATAAAATTAAAACTAATGTGCACAAGTGGGCATATCGATATCAGAGTGGATAAGCCCGTAAATCGCCGATAAAAGTATTTGGTCTAGTATTGAAGACATGCAAATTCAGAGCCTGTCAGCATCGCGATTCTGAATTACATCTCTAAAACCAGTGTATGAAAATGGGGCTAGGCCAGACAGTTCAATGATGTTCAATGGATCTGTTGAACCCAAAGAAATCACAAAGCATCCACGTTTGAATTTTTAAAAAAACACGTTTTCAACTGCGCACATTGTGCTATCTTCAAGATCTTCATCTTTGGATGGCAGAGTTTCTCAGCACCAGACCTGGTCCAGGTCGATGATTTGAACGAGCGACGGTTTCTGGAAGTCTTTGACATGCGCGTGCGGCAGGCGGCCATACGGGGATGGATATCTCGATTGGTGAAAGGGAACATCTGAACCGGAAACCATGGTTCTCCCCATCAAATTGAATGGAGATTTGTGTGAAAAACTTCCCTTAAACCAATCCAATGCATATTTTGGGGGATGACATTCGTAAGCACCAGCTATTTTAGAGTGAACAGAAACGTTTCAAGGCTTTTACCCACTGCTAGTTTCTCATGAATGCAGTTGTTTGTTTATTTAGAAGATTTGGACCCAGCAAAACTATATGGTATGTATGTGCAGAAGAATATACCATAAATATACATCAATATCATTAAATGCAGAACATCAATACATTTTTCAGCACTTTCCAGCAGATACATGTATTTATATATATATATATATACATGGCAATCGATCTAAAGGTTTTTGTAAAGAGCTTGAATTGCGAAGACCGTTCATGTTCTGTTGGGAACCCTCGCGATTTTTTTCTCGAGTTCGCGAAAGTCCTTTTGTGCGCGAAAGTTGAATATTATGAATCATTATTGTATACGTATACAAATACACATACATATAGCTCATATTCATATGTATGTAACATATCTATCTATCTATCTATCTATCTAACTAACTAACAAACAAACAAACTAATCTTATCTATCTAATCTAATCTAGTCTAATCTAATCTAATCTAGTCTAATCTAATCTAATCCAATCTAATCTAATCTAGTCTATCCATCTGTCCATCTGTTTGTCTATCTATCTACATATCTATCTGTCTATATATCTAGCTATCTAGCTATCTAGCGATCTAGCCATCTAGCCATCTATCTATCTATCTATCTATCTACCTATCTACCTATCTACCTATCTACCTATCTACCTATCTACCTATCTACCTATCTACCTACCTACCTACCTATCTATCTATCTATCTACCTATCTACCTATCTACCTATCTACCTATCTACCTATCTACCTATCTACCTATCTACCTATCTACCTATCTACCTACCTACCTACCTACCTATCTATCTATCTATCTACCTATCTACCTATCTACCTACCTACCTACCTACCTATCTACCTACCTACCTACCTACCTACCTAATCTATTAATCTATTAATCTATTAATCTATTAATCTATTAATCTATTAATCTATTAATCTATTAATCTATTAATCTATTAATCTATTAGTCTATTAATCTATTAATCTATTAATCTATTAATCTATTAATCTATTAATCTATTAATCTATTAATCTATTAATCTATTAATCTATTAATCTATTAATCTATCTATCTATCTATCTATCTATCTATCTATCTATCTATCTATCTATCTAATATACTACAACTTAGGCGGAAGTCGATCAACGACCTGAAGTCGGTATCACCCACCTGCGTGCGCGGCAGTGGTTTGTATAGAGTTTGATAGTCCTTATTGAGGGTATTGATTCGAACACTTGTCAGCGCTGTGCGCAATCGTTTTGTGACATGATTCTATTTGACCCTACTAGCCCTAGGTTACGTTCGGATCAGGCGTAGAAGTGTATCGGGATGCAGTGGCCTGGAAAAAGTCAAGTTTGGCATCAAAACAAATTTTAGAATTGGACGATTTCATGGTTTGGGGCCGTGCGCCTAGAAAAAGTTATTTTTGTATTGCGTTGATTTATAAAACTTATATTATGATTTACCTATTCTTTCAACGGGCAAACGCTGGTTGCTGACTTGCTGCTTGCTTGCTGCTTGCTTGCTGCTCCTTGCTGCTGCCTCCTGCTGCTGCTGTTGCTGCTGCTGTTGCTGCTGCCTCCTGCTGCTGTTGCTGCTGCCTCCTGCTGCGGCTGCTGCCTCCTGCTGCTGCCTCCTGCTGCTGCCTCCTGCTGCTGCCTCCTGCTGCTGCCTCCTGCTGCTGCCTCCTGCTGCTGCCTCCTGCTGCTGCTGCTGCTGCTGCTGCTGCTTCCGCCTGCTGCTGCTGCTGCTTCCTCCTGCTGCTGCTGCTGCTGCTGCCTCCTGCTGCTGCTGCCTCCTGCTGCTGCTGCTGCTTCCTCCTCCTCCTGCTGCTGCTTCCTCCTCCTGCTGCTGCTGCTGCTGCTTCCTCCTTCTGCTGCTGCCGCTGGTGCAAACATTTTGCCGAAAAAGAAAATTACAGTCTCGGTCGCCTTGTTTGGCGCTGGCGGGAGATACGGGCGGGAGACGCCAGCAGAGAGAGGGAATGTTTACAGAAGGCAGAACTTATGAAACATTCAAGCGGAAGCGGATGTTGACAGCGGTGTGCCACTGGGTTTTCAGATTTTAACGTTGTTGATATGATGATGTTGCCCATAGCTATTACATGGAAATCTATGTTTGTTAGGAAACAAAGTTAAAGATCTGGGAGGCCGTGTGCCATGGTGATTCCTAAATATATCCTTTGAAAACATAGTTTAAACATATGTGAATACCTCAGTGTGCGCAATGTTTTCTTCATTTTTGGAGATATAACAACATTCCTTGAAAGCCGGTGTGCCATTGGGATTTTGATATTTTGATGTGACTTTTGCCCAGTTGATGTGACTTTCTTCCAACTCGCTGTTGCATGGGGTTGATGTGACTTCTGCCCAACTGATGTGACTTAAACCCTTCGCTAGTATCTATCTATCTATCTATCTATCTATCTATCTAGCTAGCTAGCTAGCTAGCTATCTATCTATCTATCTATCTATCTTATCTATCTATCTTATCTATCTAATGAGCATCAGATGCTAATCTGAATCCAAAATGTTTGACCTAACGTTGTGAGCTTGGAACGACTGCTCGCGCCCAGGTTTGCACAAACCGCTTCGCAGTCTCTGCTTTGAAAAGGGACTCCGCAAGCGAAGTTGATGTAGAGTATGTCCCAGCATTTGAAGACTAAAACGAGACAATGTTGAAATCGACATACAGTAGTGGGGAACCAAGGGACCATGACGGACCATGTTGAGATGATAAAAAGTGCAAGATGACTGGTCAGTTGGCAGTTGGATATGTGACAAGGTGCCAAAATGTGCCCCGTTGCTCTGGAAAGCTTCATGCGCAAACTGCAGGGATTTTCTTGGTTCATAGTTTCTGAAAGATGTTAGGTTAGGGTCTAAAGCTCGCTCTCGCGCCCTGCCATGGATCAGGCCTGGGCGAAGGGTAAGAAATGAAAGGGCGGAAATGCAGGTTCTTGGTCTTGTACTGTCTTGTACTGTCTCATAGTTGTGGGACAGTTTGGACTCAACGAGGGGTATGCCCTGGGGTGAAGGTGCACCATCCGCCGCACTTGCCATCCAAATCCAGTGGTTTGTCATCATTTCTTGGACGAAGATCACACCACTTAGTGCCTGGATGCAAACTGGGCTTCCCACCCACTTGTCGTGGGACTTGTCAACCAGGCCCATTGTTGATGATTTTATCCCAATGTATACAACTGTGCAATATATATATAATTATATACACATACAGTTGTATACATAGTATATAATGAGATATGTATAGATTGTCTATGTACATGCATGACGCACATTATTTACTAATACCAATGTGCAAATATATGTACATTGTATGTATATATTATACATATATATAGATGTACACATGTGTATGTATGTATCCCGATGACTTTTTTCAGTTACCACATTTTTGAAATACACTTTTGTTCGTGAACTCCACCCCTTGTGTGACATCTGGGCTTTCGCTTTCAAGGCGGCGCTGCCTTTGCCGGATGGATATGTGCTGCGCGAGATGTGTAAGAGCGACTACCGAAAGGCTTGGAAAAATGGGGCAAACGAAAGGGAAACAGCAGGGAACATGAAAAAGGGCGATTGCATTGCTATTGTGGGGTTGGCAAAGTAAGACCTTCAAGGACTTTCGTGAGAACGTATAGAAGGGCCAAATGCAGAGACAGAGGGGCAGACATTGTCGCAGTGGTACAGGTTGCCGATGTCCGCTGCAGAAAGGTTTCAGCAGATTCCTAAACTCAAAATGAGAGAAATGCAACAGCAAAATTGCATAAAATTGCATAGGCTTGTCGGCATCACGTGACACTACCAAGTTGTAGAAGCTGAGGGTCCATTTGCGCCGATCGAAACTCATGGCTACTGTGGCGCCCTGTGCTTACTATGGCTGCGGCTGTGGGCAGCCGGGTCACATTGCCGCCTTCCAACAAAGTGGGATGGCGTATCCAACTTATGCACATCAAGATCCTCCTGTCAAGCTTCGCTTGCGCCGCCTGTTGCTTGAGTTGAAACCCCTGGAAGAAAAGTACTGGGAAGCACAGCAGCTGGTGCAGCAGATGGCCGTCCATGAAGTTGGTCTTTGGGTCCAAGCCATCCTGGAGAAGCCTCTGCCAATGCAGTGGATGCACAATCTGAGCATTCACATTCTTGGAGAACTTCTTCAGCGACATCCAGCTATTGTGACTTCTGAGTTCGGCAAGGTGGGTACGGTTCAAAGTTATAAAATAACAGATACCATGCAAATTGGATGGGGTTTGTAAGTCCAATTGACTACTGTACTTAAAATAGGTTCATGTTTGAGCCATGGCCAGGTGAGAAAGAACGTCTCATGGCTCTTCCCGGAAGACGGAGATGTGGACCGCGCAGCGGCCTTTTTTCGAAATCTCCTTTGGACAAAAGAGACCATGGGCCAAAACCCGAAGAGTGAAGCCTCCACATTTTCAAAGCTTTTGATGAAACGTACGAAGCAAAACGACCTCTGCAAAGTGCCAGCATGCACTGGGAGGGCTTGGTTGGTCCACATTTGGAAGGATGTGCCTTCCACGCGTCCGAGCCTAGATTTGTTGGTGAGCTGTGTGGTGCGCTGGCTCGCAGACCCTTATGAGACACAAGGACGTCGTTTCAGACGCATTCCATACACGGAAGTCCAAAGCCAAAGACTTTTGAAGTCTCCAATTTCTGCTGGTTGAGCTTCCACCTTTTCCTGCTTCAATTCCTGGTTGAATCACTGTCTCTTGGTATTTGTTTGTATTGTTTTGGGCCCCTTGAAACCTTGAAGGAGCAAAAGCTGCCTGCTTGAAAGTTCTCAGCGAGGAAACGGCTCGACTTCGGCCTCCTGCAGATTTGGAAACGTGGATAATTTCGCTGCTGTTCCAGGAGGCAGATGTGGGTCAAAGGGTCAAAAGCTAAAAACCGCCGAATGTTCCATGCAGGTGTTGGATCAAAATTTAGTCATTAAGAATTGGAATATTAACGCAGGTGATTACTTCACATCATTGCAATTGTTTTTCCATTTGAATTGGAACATGGGGATCATTACCTTGTTCTGAATCGGGGGCAATAAAATGGATAAGTAAAATGAACAGAACATAATCCCAGCATTGGACCGGCCTTCAGCAGGATGAAAGGGGTTTTGAATGTTTGTGACACATTCGCAGGTCTGTCGCCATCCAATGCAGCATTCACCAGATTTGCAGCAGCTTCTGTGGCCTGGTGATTTTTACGTAAACTTTGATATCCTTCTTTATCCAACTTTTTTGCGACAGCTATACCGGGCTAGACTGGTCTAGTGAGTCTAGTGGTTTGGATGAGTTCACAAGGAGCTTATGAAAGCTGCCAACCTTCCAAGGTGCCTGCTCCATGTTCCGCCGCACCCATCATCAGTGAGATGTTTGCTCGGGTCTTCCCAGGATCCGGGCTATTTGATGACCCTATGGGGTTGCTTATGCAACTGGTTGCCCCAGGCCCCTTGGATGTCAGGGCAAGCTTGTGAAGCTTGGTGCCGGGCCGGACCGCCTCCGCTATATGCATTGCTTCGTGCGATGCTGGTGGCCTTCTCCCAGCTGCCGGACTCCAGGAATTTATGCCGCTCAGCCATTATGGCTTTGGCTGCGTTGGGAACAAGCAGTTCAAGCATTTCCACCCAGGCGCCTGCCTTGCTGCTTATGCTCTTTCATGATGGGCCTGTACTTCCAGCAGAGGTGTGGATGCCTCTCTTGCCTCTTTTGGACTATTTGTCCCAGTTTTCAGAGCAGGCGGTAGAATTGGGCACCAGATTGCGTTCATTGGCGAGTGGAGGATTCTGGACTGCACCACGCTTGGGAGGGCAGATGGCCAGTCCGCCAAATGGACAGATGCAGGCTCAGTTAGCCACTTTTCAGACCGCGCCAGGCGCAACTTGGAGCCAATGTGAACGAAACCAAATTGGAATCCATCAATGTCACCAAGCACACGGTCAAGGGTGGCCGCAGGAATACCAGACATGCCACCCAGCTCCGCCAAAACAAGCGCAGGGGGCACAAGGCTGCATGCAACCGTTCACAACACAAACAGAGTTTCGCACATTACCCCAACAGACATCAAAAGCAGTGACGCACAGGCAGCCCAGTGTTGGACTGCAAAACACCAACAACACCTGCTACATGAACAGTTTCATGCAGGCGCTCTTCCTCACTGACGCCTTTGTATGGCGCATCTATGACTTCACCCTGAAGCTGAAAGCCAAGGCATCCAAAATTGACGAGGAGGACTTTGAGTTCGGAAAGAAAGTAGTGGAGTTGCTTCAAAAGCAGTTCGCCAAAATGGCATTGACAAAACACCAGCATACGGACATTTGGGACATCCTGCAGGCATTTCCTGCAGACTATCGCTCCGGTGAGCAACAGGATGTGACCGAGACGATTCGTTTCGTGTTTGACAAACTTGGTGGAAGCGACCAAGATTTGCTGAGGGAAGTCTTTGCAGGCCAGCTGCAAGAGAAAATTCAGTGTCGGGAGTGTGGGAAGATCAAGGTTCGCGAGGAGACCTTTACAGATCTGGTGCTTCCCGTGCCCACTGCAGAGCAGGCCAAAGAGAGTGGCATCGTGCCAACCATGCAGAAGCTTCTTGAGGAGCGCTTGAAGTGTGAGGAGATGGACGACCCAAACAATCTGGTCACCTGTGAAAATTGCCAAAAGAAGACATTCGCCGTGAAGTGGAGCGAAATCACTCGACCACCACCACATCTCTGCCTATGCCTCAATCGCTTCACCTTTAACATGCAGACCTACGACTTTACCAAGGAGAAGACCCCGGTGAAGATAGATGAGGGCTTGTGGATTGGCGGCTACGAATATGAGCTGTACCATACGATAATTCACACCGGCAAGGATGCTTCGAGTGGACACTACTATGCTATGGGAAGAAGATCGGAGCCCACGGTCAGTGGAGATTGCGCATTCTACACCATGGACGACTCCCAGATCAAAGAAGCTGATGTCTCCCTCTTGGCAGGGAACCCTCCCGAGAAACTTTTGGATGACAACGCATATGTTCTTTTCCTCCGGTGCAAGCAGGCGCCACCTACCCCTGAATTTCGAATCCCCTTGTCTCTTGTAGAGTATGTAAAGAAGCAAGACAAGAAGCAATGAGTAGAGCCGAACCAGTTTGGCGACTCGCTGTGTTTCACAGCCTCCTCTAGTTTAATCTTTGGTGAGGCTCCTTTGGCACAATGCACTGTAAGATATCCATCCATCTCCTATCCATCGGCGAAAAGTGCCTCTTTGGAAATCAGCTGAACGCCTTAATCCATTGGTTAAGTAAAGTATCATTTTCGCCAGTGAGAGTGCAGTTTTGGGGGGCACACGGTCCATGGCTGCAGGGCTTGGTTCCGCTACTGGAGCAGCTCACACAGGTGTCTTCGGGCTGGGGTGTGCTGTTGTACTCTTTGGGTTAAGAGCTGAGGGGATTTCACCTGGTCATTTAGAGTGAAATTCATCCAAAGTTTGGGCTACCCACCTTTGAAGCAAGTAGCTAATACACCCGTCTCATGGCACGTACGGTGCTGGAGCTGAGTGGTGGGGCTGCAGGTTCAATGAGCATGCTTCCTATGTACTTGGACTCCCAGCGATCCGACAAGTGGATATGTACTTTTTGGTGATTCTTGGGTCATGTTTTTGGCAGGAACATTTCCATTTTGTTCTTTCCTGGAACGAACATTTGAAGCCAAGCCTACAGCATGTAAACACTCAACCGGCAAATTTCGGTAATACATTAAAATTAATAATAATACTAATAATAATAATAAGCTATATATATATGTATATATATACGTATATATATATATATACGTATATATATATATATATAGAGAGACACATATAAATATATACATAATCATAAAATTAAAACTAATGTGCACAAGTGGGCATATCGATATCAGAGTGGATAAGCCCGTAAATCGCCGATAAAAGTATTTGGTCTAGTATTGAAGACATGCAAATTCAGAGCCTGTCAGCATCGCGATTCTGAATTACATCTCTAAAACCAGTGTATGAAAATGGGGCTAGGCCAGACAGTTCAACGATGTTCAATGGATCTGTTGAACGCAAAGAAATCACAAAGCATCCACGTTTGAATTTTGAAAAAAACACGTTTTCAACTGCGCACATTGTGCTATCTTCAAGATCTTCATCTTTGGATGGCAGAGTTTCTCAGCACCAGACCTGGTCCAGGTCGATGATTTGAACGACATGCGCGTGCGGCAGGCGGCCATACGGGGATGGATATATCGATTGGTGAAAGGGAACATCTGAACCGGAAACCATGGTTCTCCCCATCAAATTGAATGGAGATTTGTGTGAAAAACTTCCCTTAAACCAATCCAATGCATATTTTGGGGGATGACATTCATAAGCACCAGCTATTTTAGAGTGAACAGATTCGTTTCAAGGCTTTTACCCACTGCTAGTTTCTCATGAATACAGTTGTTTGTTTACTTAGAAGATTTGGACCCAGCAAAACTATATGGTATGTATGTGCAGAAGAATATACCATAAATATACATCAATATCATTAAATGCAGAACATCAATACATTTTTCAGCACTTTCCAGCAGATACATGTATTTATATATATATATATATACATGGCAATCGATCTAAAGGTTTTTGTAAAGAGCTTGAATTGCGAAGACCGTTCATGTTCTGTTGGGAACCCTCGCGCTTTTTTCTCGAGTTCGCGAAAGTCCTTTTGTGCGCGAAAGTTGAATATTATGAATCATTATTGTATACATATACAAATACACATACATATAGCTCATATTCATATGTATGTAACATATCTATATATATATCTATCTATCTATCTATCTAACTAACAAACTAACTAACTAACTAACTAACTAATCTTATCTATCTAATCTAATCTAGTCTAATCTAATCTAATCTCATCCAATCTAATCTAATCTAATCTATCCATCTGTCCATCTGTTTGTCTATCTATCTACATATCTATCTGTCTATCTATCTAGCTATCCAGCTATCTAGCTATCTAGCGATCTAGCCAGCGATCTAGCCATCTATCTAGCCATCTATCTATCTATCTATCTACCTACCTATCTACCTATCTACCTATCTACCTATCTATCTATCTATCTACCTACCTATCTACCTATCTACCTATCTACCTACCTACCTACCTATCTATCTATCTATCTATCTTACTATCTTACTTTCTTATCTATCTAATGAGCATCAGATGCTAATCTGAATCCAACATGTTTGACCTAACATTGTGAGCTTGGAACGACTGCTCGCGGCCAGGTTTGCACAAACCGCTTCGCAGTCTCTGCTTTGAAAAGGGACTCCGCAAGCGAAGTTGATGTAGAGTATGTCCCAGCATTTGAAGACTAAAGCGAGACAATGTTGAAATCGACATACAGTAGTGGGGAACCAAGGGACCATGACGGACCATGTTGAGATGATAAAAAGTGCAAGATGGCTGGTCAGTTGGCAGTTGGATGTGTGACAAGGTGCCAAAATGTGCCCCGTTGCTCTGGAAAGCTTCATGCGCAAACTGCAGGGATTTTCTTGGTTCATAGTTTCTGAAAGATGTTAGGTTAGGGTCTAAAGCTCGCTCTCGCGCCCTGCCATGGATCAGGCCTGGGCGAAGGGTAAGAAATGAAAGGGCGGAAATGCAGGTTCTTGGTCTTGTACTGTCTTGTACTGTCTCATAGTTGTGGGACAGTTTGGACTCAACGAGGGGTATGCCCTGGGGTGAAGGTGCACCATCCGCCGCACTTGCCATCCAAATCCAGTGGTTTGTCATCATTTCTTGGACGAAGATCACACCACTTAGTGCCTGGATGCAAACTGGGCTTCCCACCCACTTGTCGTGGGACTTGTCAACCAGGCCCATTGTTGATGATTTTATCCCAATGTATACAACTGTGCAATATATATATAATTATATACACATACAGTTGTATACATAGTATATAATGAGATATGTATTGATTGTCTATGTACATGCATGACGCACATTATTTACTAATACCAATGTGCAAATATATGTACATTGTATGTATATATATATATATTATATATATATATATAGATGTACACATGTGTATGTATGTATCCCGATGACTTTTTTCAGTTACCACATTTTTGAAATACACTTTTGTTCGTGAACTCCACCCCTTGTGTGACATCTGGGCTTTCGCTTTCAAGGCGGCGCCGCCTTTGCCGGATGGATATGTGCTGCGCGAGATGTGTAAGAGCGACTACCGAAAGGCTTGGAAAAATGGGGCAAACGAAAGGGAAACAGCAGGGAACATGAAAAAGGGCGATTGCATTGCTATTGTGGGGTTGGCAAAGTAAGACCTTCAAGGACTTTCGTGAGAACGTATAGAAGGGCCAAATGCAGAGACAGAGGGGCAGACATTGTCGCAGTGGTACAGGTTGCCGATGTCCGCTGCAGAAAGGTTTCAGCAGATTCCTAAACTCAAAATGAGAGAAATGCAACAGCAAAATTGCATAAAATTGCATAGGCTTGTCGGCATCACGTGACACTACCAAGTTGTAGAAGCTGAGGGTCCATTTGCGCCGATCGAAACTCATGGCTACTGTGGCGCCCTGTGCTTACTATGGCTGCGGCTGTGGGCAGCCGGGTCACATTGCCGCCTTCCAACAAAGTGGGATGGCGTATCCAACTTATGCACATCAAGATCCTCCTGTCAAGCTTCGCTTGCGCCGCCTGTTGCTTGAGTTGAAACCCCTGGAAGAAAAGTACTGGGAAGCACAGCAGCTGGTGCAGCAGATGGCCGTCCATGAAGTTGGTCTTTGGGTCCAAGCAATCCTGGAGAAGCCTCTGCCAATGCAGTGGATGCACAATCTGAGCATTCACATTCTTGGAGAACTTCTTCAGCGACATCCAGCTATTGTGACTTCTGAGTTCGGCAAGGTGGGTACGGTTCAAAGTTATAAAATAACAGATACCATGCAAATTGGATGGGGTTTGTAAGTCCAATTGACTACTGTACTTAAAATAGGTTCATGTTTGAGCCATGGCCAGGTGAGAAAGAACGTCTCATGGCTCTTCCCGGAAGACGGAGATGTGGACCGCGCAGCGGCCTTTTTTCGAAATCTCCTTTGGACAAAAGAGACCATGGGCCAAAACACCAAGAGTGAAGCCTCCACATTTTCAAAGCTTTTGATGAAACGTACGAAGCAAAACGACCTCTGCAAAGTGCCAGCATGCACTGGGAGGGCTTGGTTGGTCCACATTTGGAAGGATGTGCCTTCCACGCGTCCGAACCTAGATTTGTTGGTGAGCTGTGTGGTGCGCTGGCTCGCAGACCCTTATGAGACACAAGGACGTCGTTTCAGACGCATTCCATACACGGAAGTCCAAAGCCAAAGACTTTTGAAGTCTTCAATTTCTGCTGGTTGAGCTTCCACCTTTTCCTGCTTCAATTCCTGGTTGAATCACCGTCTCTTGGTATTTGTTTGTATTGTTGTGGGCCCCTTGAAACCTTGAAGGAGCAAAAGCTGCCTGCTTGAAAGTTCTCAGCGAGGAAACGGCTCGACTTCGGCCTCCTGCAGATTTGGAAACGTGGATAATTTCGCTGCTGTTCCAGGAGGCAGATGTGGGTCAAAGGGTCAAAAGCTAAAAACCGCCGAATGTTCCATCCAGGTGTTGGATCAAAATTTAGTCATTAAGAATTGGAATATTAACGCAGGTGATTACTTCACATCATTGCAATTGTTTTCCATTTGAATTGGAACATGGGGGTCATTACCTTGTTCTGAATCGGGGGCAATAAAATGGATAAGTAAAATGAACAGAACATAATCCCAGCATTGGACCGGCCTTCAGCAGGATGAAAGGGGTTTTGAATGTTTGCGACACATTCGCAGGTCTGTCGCCATCCAATGCAGCATTCACCAGATTTGCAGCAGCTTCTGTGGCCTGGTGATTTTTACGTAAACTTTGATATCCTTCTTTATCCAACTTTTTGCGACAGCTATACCGGGCTAGACTCTACTGGTCTAGTGAGTCTAGTGGTTTGGATGAGTTCACAAGGAGCTTATGAAAGCTGCCAACCTTCCAAGGTGCCTGCTCCATGTTCCGCCGCACCCATCATCAGTGAGATGTTTGCTCGGGTCTTCCCAGGATCCGGGCTATTTGATGACCCTATGGGGTTGCTTATGCAACTGGTTGCCCCAGGCCCCTTGGATGTCAGGGCAAGCTTGTGAAGCTTGGTGCCCGGCCGGACCACCTCCGCTATATGCATTGCTTCGTGCGATGCTGGTGGCCTTCTCCCAGCTGCCGGACTCCAGGAATTTATGCCGCTCAGCCATTATGGCTTTGGCTGCGTTGGGAACAAGCAGTTCAAGCATTTCCACCCAGGCGCCTGCCTTGCTGCTTATGCTCTTTCATGATGGGCCTGTACTTCCAGCAGAGGTGTGGATGCCTCTTTTGCCTCTTTTGGACTATTTGTCCCAGTTTTCAGAGCAGGCGGTAGAATTGGGCACCAGATTGCGTTCATTGGCGAGTGGAGGATTCTGGACTGCACCACGCTTGGGAGGGCAGATGGCCAGTCCGCCAAATGGACAGATGCAGGCTCAGTTAGCCACTTTTCAGACCGCGCCAGGCGCAACTTGGAGCCAATGTGAACGAAACCAAATTGGAATCCATCAATGTCACCAAGCACACGGTCAAGGGTGGCCGCAGGAATACCAGACATGCCACCCAGCTCCGCCAAAACAAGCGCAGGGGGCACCAGGCTGCATGCAACCGTTCACAACACAAACAGAGTTTCACACATCACCCCAACAGACATCAAAAGCAGTGACGCACAGGCAGCCCAGTGTTGGACTGCAAAACACCAACAACACCTGCTACATGAACAGTTTCATGCAGGCGCTCTTCCTCACTGACGCCTTTGTATGGCGCATCTATGACTTCACCCTGAAGCTGAAAGCCAAGGCATCCAAAATTGACGAGGAGGACTTTGAGTTCGGAAAGAAAGTAGTGGAGTTGCTTCAAAAGCAGTTCGCCAAAATGGCATTGACAAAACACCAGCATACGGACATTTGGGACATCCTGCAGGCATTTCCTGCAGACTATCGCTCCGGTGAGCAACAGGATGTGACCGAGACGATTCGTTTCGTGTTTGACAAACTTGGTGGAAGCGACCAAGATTTGCTGAGGGAAGTCTTTGCAGGCCAGCTGCAAGAGAAAATTCAGTGTCGGGAGTGTGGGAAGATCAAGGTTCGCGAGGAGACCTTTACAGATCTGGTGCTTCCCGTGCCCACTGCAGAGCAGGCCAAAGAGAGTGGCATCGTGCCAACCATGCAGAAGCTTCTTGAGGAGCGCTTGAAGTGTGAGGAGATGGACGACCCAAACAATCTGGTCACCTGTGAAAATTGCCAAAAGAAGACATTCGCCGTGAAGTGGAGCGAAATCACTCGACCACCACCACATCTCTGCCTATGCCTCAATCGCTTCACCTTTAACATGCAGACCTACGACTTTACCAAGGAGAAGACGCCGGTTAAGATAGATGAGGGCTTGTGGATTGGCGGCTACGAATATGAGCTGTACCATACGATAATTCACACCGGCAAGGATGCTTCGAGTGGACACTACTATGCTATGGGAAGAAGATCGGAGCCCACGGTCAGTGGAGATTGCGCATTCTACACCATGGACGACTCCCAGATCAAAGAAGCTGATGTCTCCCTCTTGGCAGGGAACCCTCCCGAGAAACTTTTGGATGACAACGCATATGTTCTTTTCCTCCGGTGCAAGCAGGCGCCACCTACCCCTGAATTTCGAATCCCCTTGTCTCTTGTAGAGTATGTAAAGAAGCAAGACAAGAAGCAATGAGTAGAGCCGAACCAGCTTGGCGACTCGCTGTGTTTCACAGCCTCCTCTAGTTTAATCTTTGGTGAGGCTCCTTTGGCACAATGCACTGTAAATCTTGAGATATCCATCCATCTCCTATCCAACGGCGAAAAGTGATGAAACGTGCCTCTTTGGAAATCAGCTGGACGCCTTAATCCATTGGTTAAGTAAAGTATCATTTTTGCCAGTGAGAGTGCAGTTTTGGGGGGCACACGGCGCACGGTCCATGGCTGCAGGGCTTGGTTCCGCTACTGGAGCAGCTCACACAGGTGTCTTCGGGCTGGGATGTGCTGTTGTACTCTTTGGGTTAAGAGCTGAGGGGATTTCACCTGGTCATTTAGAGTGAAATTCATCCAAAGTTTGGGCTACCCACCTTTGAAGCAAGTAGCTAATACACCCGTCTCATGGCACGTACGGGGCTGGAGCTGAGTGGTGGGGCTGCAGGTTCAATGAGCATGCTTCCTATGTACTTGGACTCCCAGCGATCCGACAAGTGGATATGTACTTTTTGGTGATTCTTGGGTCATGTTTTTGGCAGGAACATTTCCATTTTGTTCTTTCCTGGAACGAACATTTGAAGCCAAGCTTACAGCATGTAAACAATAAACCGGCAAATTTCGGTAATACATTAAACTTAATAATATATATATATATATACGTATATATATATATATATACACACTATATATATATATACACCGTAAATCGCCGATAAAAAAGTATTTGGTCTAGTATTGAAGACATGCATATTCAGAGCCTGTCAGCATCGCGATTCTGAATTACATCTCTAAAACCAGTGTATGAAAATGGGGCTAGGCCAGACAGTTCAATGATGTACGCAAAGAAATCACAAGGCATCCACGTTTGAATTTTGAAAAAAACACGTTTTCAACTGCGCACATTGTGCTATCTTCAAGATCTTCATCTTTGGATGGCAGAGTTTCTCAGCACCAGACCTGGTCCAGGTCGATGATTTGAACGAGCGACGGTTTCTGGAAGTCTTTGACATGCGCGTGCGGCAGGCGGCCACACGGGGATGGATATATCGATTGGTGAAAGGGAACATCTGAACCGGAAACCATGGTTCTCCCCATCAAATTGAATGGAGATTTGTGTGAAAAACTTCCCTTAAACCAATCCAATGCATATTTTGGGGGATGACATTCAGAAGCACCAGCTATTTTAGAGTGAACAGAAACGTTTCAAGGCTTTTACCCACTGCTAGTTTCTCATGAATACAGTTGTTTGTTTACTTAGAAGATTTGGACCCAGCAAAACTATATGGTATGTATGTGCAGAAGAATATACCATAAATATACATCAATATCATTAAATGCAGAACATCAATACATTTTTCAGCACTTTCCAGCAGATACATGTATATATATATATTGATCATATATATATATACATACATACATACATACATGGCAATCAATCTAAAGGTTTTTGTAAAGAGCTTGAATTGCGAAGACCGTTCATGTTCTGTTGGGAACCCTCGCGTTTTTTTTTCTCGAGTTCGCGAAAGTCCTTTTGTGCGCGAAAGTTGAATATTATGAATCGTTATTGTTATTGTATACATATACAAATAGGAGGGCTAATTATTTTAGGATTTTTTTTTTGATCAGGTTTAGGAATTATTTTTGGATTCCTGCTTCTCTGCTTTTCCTGCTTTTCCTGCTTCTCTGCTTTTCTGCTTTTTTGCTTTTCTGCTTCTCCTGCTTCTCGCCTTTTCTGTTTTTTTGCTTTTCTGCTTCTCCTGCTTCTCTGCTTCTCTGCTTTTCTGCTTTTTTGCTTTTCTGTTTTTCCTGTTTCTTTGCTTCTCTGCTTTTCCTGTTTCTTTGCTTCTCTGCTTTTCCTGCTTCTCCTGCTTCTCTGCTTTTCTGCTTTTCCTGCTTCTTTGCCTTTCTGCTGTTTTGCTTTTGTGCGTTTCCTGTTTCTTTGCTTCTCTGCTTTTTTGCTTCTCTGCTTTTTTTTTGCTTTGCCTGCTTTAAATACTTGATTTTCATGTAAGATGCATTTTGCACAGTATTTACATCCCTGAGTATCACATGACCAACCTTCTCTTGAAAACTAGCAACGTAACATGTGAGAAGAGGTGCTTGCATTCTGCTTTGGGGGGAGGCGCCGCGCCCTCCCCCCAATCCCCCCCTCCCGCTTTTTTTAATTTAAACTTAAACCCAAGTTACATTAGTTGGTTTTTGCGAACTAACCTTCTCTGGAAAGCTGACAGGATTACATGTGATAGATAGATAGATAAGATAAGATAAGATAAGATTAGATTAGATTAGATAGATAGATAGATTAGATAGATAGATAGATAGATAGATAGACAGACAGATAGATAGATAGATAGCTGGATAGATAGATAGCTTGGTAGATAGATAGCTAGATAGATAGATAGCCAGCTAGATAGATAGATAGCTAGAGAGATAGATAGCTAGATACCTGGATAGATAGATGGCTAGGTAGATAGCTAGATAGATAGATAGCTAGATAGATAGCTAGCTAGATGGATAAAGAGGTAGCTAGATAGATAGCTAGATAGATAGATAGATAGATAGCTAAATAGATAGGCAGATAGTTAGCCAGATAGATAGATAGCTAGATAGATAGCTCGTTAGCTAGATAGCTGGATAGACAGCTGGATGGCTAAATAGATAGATAGCTAGATAGATAGAAAGCTAGATAACTAGATAGCTAGATAGATAGTTAGCTAGATAGCTCGATAGCTGGATAGACAGCTGGATGGCTAGATAGATAGATAGCTAGATAGATAGAAAGCTAGATAGCTAGATAGCTAGATAGATAGTTAGCTAGATAGCTAGATAGGTAGATAGATAGCTAGCAAGATAGCTAGCTAGATAGGTAGATAGATAGCTAGATAGATAGATAGATAGATAGATAGATAGATAGATAGATAGAGCTAGAGATAGATAGCTAGAGAGATAGATAGCTAGATAGATAGATAGATGCTAGATAGATAGCTTGCTAGATAGATAGCTAGATAGCTAGCTAGCTGGATAGATAGCTAGCGCCCTCCCTCAATCCCCCCCACCCGCTTTTTATCTAATCCCAAGCTTCGCATCTGTAAATATTTGGGTGAACATGCTCACATGTAGAACATCCCATGCAAAATGGAAGGTGAACATGCCAAAATGTGGCAAATACCATACAAAATGGAAGGTGAACATGCCCACATGTAGGAAATCCCATGCAAAATGGAAGGTGAACATGCCAAAATGTGGCAAATACCATACAAAATGGAAGGTGAACATGCCCACATGTAGTAAATCCCATGCAAAATGGAAGGTGAACATGCCCAAATGTGGCAAATACCATGCAAAATGACAAATTCAAGTTCCAAACCGTTGCAAACACTAGGCAAATGGTACCAGCCAAGAAATCCAAAAAAAATTCCCAAACCTGTTGAAAAAAAAATTCCTAAAACTATTTCACACCCATACAAATACACATACATATAGCTCATATTCATATGTATGTAACATATCTATCTATCTATCTAACTAACTAACTAATTAATCTTATCTATCTAATCTAATCTAATCTAGTCTAATCTAATCTAATCTAGTCTAATCTAATCTAATCTAATCCAATCTAATCTAATCTATCCATCTGTCCATCTGTTTCTCTATCTATCTACATGTCTATCTGTCTATCTATCTACCTATCTAGCTATCTAGCTATCTAGCTATCTAGCTATCTAGCGATCTAGCCATCTATCTATCTATCTACCTATCTACCTACCTATCTACCTACCTACCTACCTACCTGTCTATCTATCTATCTATCTACCTATCTATCTATCTATCTATCTATCTTACTATCTTACTATCTTATCTATCTAATGTGATGTAATGTAATGTAATGAATTGTAATGTAATCGAACTATGTATACACACGTACATAACATAACATAACATTACATTCCATTTACATTTACATTACATTACACTACACTACATTACACTACACTACATTACATTACACTACATTACACTACATTACACTACACTACATTATATTACATTACACTACATGGATATATGGATATATGGATACATAGATACATGTATGTGTACATATATATATATATATGTGGAGGTCACACCCCCCGCCAGGCAGATGTCTACCGCTGCATGGTCATCGAGCATTTGGAGTCCCAAGAGTTGGCGGCCACGGCCACCCTGCTGGTGGAGGCTGGACTTATCGGTTACCCTCTGGTAAACTAGCATAGCTATGGAAAATCACAATTTTTAATGGGAAAATCCACTATAAACGGCCATTTTCAATAGCTATGTTAAATTACCAGAGGGTATATCCAATATATATCTGGTTAATAGTGATGGTTATTAGTGGTTTTCATAGGGTATAAACCAACAACAATGGGAATATGATGGTTATATATCTGGTTGGTGGTTTGGAACATGGCTTTCATTTTTCCCATCATATTGGGAATGTCATCATCCCAACTGACTCTGACTTTCATAGTTTTCAGAGGGGTAGGTATACCACCAACCAGATGTGTGTATATATATATGTATAACCACCAATGTGGAAATAAAATAGGCAACCAGCTCAGGGATTGCTGCAGACGTGTGGTAGAGTATTCACATGCATTTACTGCATATCGCTTGCGAAAACAAATAGGCTGTGTTTGGGCCAATGGCTGATCATTCTATTGTTTTCTTTTATTGGTGATGTGATGATCATTACCCTGCAGTAAATTCACATGGACCCTGGAAAAAGCAATTTTTTTTTGTGGAAACTAATCTTTTCAACCCCCTAGACATGGCAAGGTATGTAGGCTATCTGGGTGACATATTTTATTGGTTTTGATTGGTGACATATTGATTCGTGTTGCCCGGAAAGATCCAGGAACAGGGGATCTGCTCGTCTCAAACTTGGGTCCGAAAACCCGTGGTTTTTCGAAACGCATCAATTGCTCTTGAAGATTTGCATTGAAGTCGGGTAAATTCATCATTTTACGATACCGATGGAGAAATATCCAGATATAACGATATAACCAGATAAACTGAGAAACTTGTGGAGAAGCTTGTGGTTGTTGAGGGTTGGAATGCTATCTTTCTTGGTAATTTTCGGATTTCACTACAGGCTTGTATTGGTTTACTGTATTCAGATCCTGGAGTATATACAGAAATGGCTCATCAAAACCCAGATGTCCGTGGGATGTTCATCCTCATTCCATTGATAACCCGGATCTATTTCTCCTTAGACACACAGGTGGTTGACCCCAAATGACTTCCATTTAGTTCGAAGATTTAAAGTTAGCTATTTAAACAACCTATTATTCACATAAATGATGTTCCATAGCTCTGTTAGATTTATAGTTGTGTCAGCTAAGCTGTGTTAGATTTATAGTGTATATTCTATCATTCTATCATTCTATCTATCTATCTAATCTTATCTAATCTTATCTAATCTTATCTACTCTTATCTACTCTTATCTAATCTTATCTAATCTTATCTAATCTTCTCTAATCTTCTCTAATCTTCTCTAATCTTCTCTAATCTTCTCTAATCTTCTCTAATCTTCTCTAATCTTCTCTAATCTTATCTAATCTTATCTAATCTTATCTAATCTTATCTAATCTTATCTAATCTTATCTAATCTTATCTAATCTTATCTAATCTTATCTAATCTTATCCATCTTATCTATCTTATCTATCTACCTATCTACCTATCTACCTATCTACCTACCTACTTATCTACCTATCTAGCTAGCTAGCTAGCTAGCCAGCTAGCTACCCATCCACCCATCCACCCATCCATCCATCCATCCATCTATCCATCTGTTTGTCTATCGATCTACATATCTATCTGTCTATCTGTCTATCTATCTATCTAGCTATCTAGCTATCTAGCTATCTAGTTATCTAGCTATCTAGCTATCTAGCTATCTAGCTATCTAGCTAGCTATCTATCTATCTATCTAGCTAGAGTAAATATGTATATATATAGTATAAGTTGTGTATAATACTATGTATACATATATATATATAGATAGATATTGCATAGTATAATAAACTTCAAGATGTTTTACCCTTTCATTCGCCCTTCTTGGGACAGGCAAAGTTCATCCACGGAGGTGCTAAGGTGGGTCACATCGAGGCTGGAGCAACAAAAAACATGTGTGTTGATAGGGTTGGGTTTACCCATGATTTGCGGGGGTCGACCATCATTTCTAGGGCTTTAATCATGAACTTGGTATGTTTTGATGCAGATTTCAGCCAACTTTAGTCAGCTTGTGACAAGTTCACGAGTTATTTTGACCCACAGAAATGGTAATGAACCGATGAGAATGGCAGCAAACATGGTCCAACATATCCGTGGTTCGCTCGGCCTTCAATTCTGACCTGTCCAATCGTCTGACTGGAAAGGTCACTTTTTTACTGTGTAGGTAATGCAGTGGCAGTATGCAGTGGAGTGCAATGTAGATCATGTACTGTCACGTTGCGAAAGGTAACATAGCAGCGCAGTGGAATGTCACGTCTGTGCCTGTCAGTTCATATTTTTTGGCAGACCTTTCCAGAGCCCGACAGGATGTGGTGGTCGATACGGGCCATCGTGGCAAAGGCATGGTATGGTGGGTCCATGCTTTGGATCTGGGAAGGTGGGGGAGTGGTGAAACGCCAATGAGGTCTGGCACGATGCCTCATGCATGCTTTAGCTGAAGAAGCTTCCAGACTCAAATGCTACAAGGCAAGGGTGTTGCAGGGCGGAAGGCTGTCGGAGTGGCATGGATCAAGGATATCAAAGGTTGTCTGTCTTAAAAGAGAGCTAAACTGACTTTTGTCACCTCTCCACATGAACACAATTCAAAGTGGTCATCAGTCATCAATGAAATTAGTTTGAGTGTATGACACACTTTCTTTGCGTCACCAATCTCCTGTTTCCCTTGGTGATCCTGATGACTCAGCGCAGGTGATTCTCGATTGTAAGGAGCACAACGTGGCCCTCTATGAGAAGCAGGGAGTCTCAGGGCTTGTCAGCAATGGCCGCAATAAACATGGAGGTTTCCTAAAATTGGGACCACCCAAATCATCCATACTGTAGAATTTTCCAGTATAAACCATCCATTTTGGGGTACCCCCATTTTCAGACAAACCCACTTTTTTTTTCACATACGAAGCCAATGCAGACTGTTGAAGGCTCGAAGTTCATCCGATTCATCCATGGACTCGACGGGAGACACCAATGAGGTTCGGCTACCGCAGCTGCGATGTGCACATGCGATTGGACCTTCCCGAAGTTCCGAAGGAGCCAACCTGAACGCCGGGGCCCTGGACGCGGCCAACTAAGTTTGGAAGGTCTCACCCTGCAGTGATCATGGTGCAGAACAGCACAGGTGGGAGCGTTTGTAACTTTGCAAGTGCCAGTGATGCCAGTGTACAAGGGGTAGCACAGCATGAAGAGATTGCATCAATGGACAAAACTTTCGAATGCCACAGCTGCCAGCATCGACAGCGGGTCCCCATCGGAGCAGTGATCGCGGCATCCGCTCTGAAGCGGCAAAGTCAATGACCGTGACAATTTCAGCTTCAGGGTGCACAGGCACTGTGAGTTAGTCAGCCTTTGCTGGGTCTAACTGTTGAGCCCAAGCTTTATGAGAGACACTTCTGACAGGTAGATGTATTACCCTAATAGCAATCTAATAGCTGTAACAGCTCTTCAACCACCGGCGAATCCGGCTGATTTTTGGTTCCCATAAATCATATTTGGTGCACCCTGGGAGTTTTCGACATGGCCGATTGCCACAAGCAAAAAGACGCGACGAAAATACGAAAGACGCGACGTGGGAGCTGGGCCTCAGTGGGGCAATGGTGCGGACTGCGGACATAAAAAAAATGACAAAGACTTCCAGAAATACGCCGACTCAATGACTTTCTCCGCACTCTAGTAATGTGGTAAACCAATCATAAACTCCAAAATCCACCATAAACGAGTTCTATAAATCATCCCCAGATGGTGGGTTTATATAGGCTTATTAGGCTTATGGCATTGGGTTTACCACATGAACCATGAGCTGGGTTGAGAAGCACCAGTCTCAAGATGGTGAAACTGCCAGTGATCAATCTGTCTTGCCGACTGAAGCTTTCGGTTTGAAGAAATAGGCTGGACATTCTGATGGGTAAAGCACCAGCGTGCTTCAGAACAGTCGACAACGCGCAAAGAATATATCGTGATGCACACTATTTATATGTATTTATGTTTTGTTTTATATACACCTCTTTTGACAACCATTCCTTTCATGTCATGCCCAGCACCACATTCGGGATTATTTGGGTGATGTTTGGGCCATCCAAGCCCACACCAAGAACGGTAGCAGTGTAGCAGCTACAAACCGTTGAAAGATCTTGAACAGCAAGGAAAAAACTGCATGGGCCCCCTACCATGGACCTGATTAAGTGGTCAAAAAAACCATATGGCTATGGTCTTCCAGCTACGATATATAATAATATAGCTTTTACTCTGCAATAGGCCAAGACTATACAGCACTTGGAGCCAGCCAGTGTTGTTGCTTTTTGTGCCCCTCTAGAAGCGTCGCACCTGGTATCCCGGTCGGAGATGGCTTTGTCCTCTTTTTGCTGATTAAATATAGACAATCCCAGACCGTTCAAAGTTCTAAGTCCAGCAGTATTTCAGGAAAGGGTCAAAGCTTGGCATGTCCGATGGGCACAGCTTGGTGACGCAGCTTCATTTGGTCAGCCAGGAGCTGCGTGTTCTGGGAATCATGTCACGCAGACCTGTTGTCATATCATGTTAAATTGATTGATCTTGAAAGTTTTCACGAGCCCATCATTTATTCTTTTGGTCATCAGATAAAAGGGCATTTCCGTAGTTTTCCGTCAATTCCAAAAATTGTTGAACCCATGCAGTCTTTTTTTTGGACATGACAAGGATTAAGAGCGTGCCTCTGTGCCACTCTGTGCAATCCAAAAGCGCATTGCATCGGTTTTGGTTGCGCCATTAGCAGAAGCCGGGTTGAAACATTGTATTTGACAGGTCCAAATGATTTGGCATCAGGAGCCTTAAGCTTCAATTTTGATGCTGTGCGACTACTCCAATATCTGCTCTCGGAACAGGTGCAGCTACACTTTGAACAAGATTTCCTTCACGTTTGTTAGACATGGGAGGGACAAGGAATAGAGCGATTGGTGTTTAACATGCCAGCTGCTGCCAGCTTCAGAGCCAAACAATGCACTAGATTCTCAACGGAGCATGTCAGATGAACATTGGGATGCTAGTGGTAGTCTCTGCAATCGACGACGACACATCAAGACATTGACATCAAAGCTAAACAAATTCAGTTGATCCAGCTTGAACAGGTCAGCATATCTGTGTATGTTTCATTATGTTTCATCCTAAAGTTTCAGGAGAATCAGCCCAAAGTGAAGCAAGAAATACCCACGGCCACTCTGAAAACCGCTGTTCTGATATGTTTCGCAATGCTTTTCGACGTGTGCTTTCGCATTCTGCTCCCCGATACTTGCCCGGGGTTCTCGGCTCAGTGGGGTCTATCATAGAACAAGAAGGTCACAAAATAATGGAAAATCAGCAGAGAGGACAGTCATGGCCAGTCTCTCATGGGGATGTTTGATTCCTTGTGAGGCTTGTTACAGGAAGGTGTTAAACTGTTACCCTCTGGTAAACTAACATAGCTATTGAAAATGGCCATAGAAATAGTGGATTTTCCCATTAAAAATGGTGATTTTCCATAGCTATGTTAATTTACCAGAGGGTAAACGATATTGTAGTGGCTGTGTGTCAGAGACTTTCGCCTATCAATGTGTGAGCAACCGAGCAAGGCATTCTTGTTGGGATTACTCTGTACCTTCTGCAGTACCTTCTGGTACTGAGACATCTCTATGGAACGTGACCATTTTGTATTAGGTAACTGCAGAAAGAGTACTTGAGATTGATCTATAGCACAATTTTTCTGAATATGTTAAATTACCAGAGGGTATCTCCTTAATATCCCCTTAAAATCCCATGAATGCCTGCTGAATGTTGCATTCATATCCCATCAAACCCCATTTAACCCGGGCAATTTCCAACGGCTGTTGCCGGCTTGAGGTGCTCGCGGTGGCAGTATCAGCTCAGCACCTTCGCGGCGGGCGAAGTTCGTGTCAAGAGCAAGGCACCAGAGAGGTTGGTCGCTGGAAGTTTTTTTCTCCCAAGAACCCATTTTCCAATGGGGGTTTAAGCAACAGAATGATCATTTAGCCAGAAGTGGGGGGGTTAAACTAACGAACCATTGTTGCACATTGTTACAATGCGAAGATTTCTATAGTACCACCCCCGCCACCTGTCCCCCCCGCCACCGCCACCCCCAAAAAGATGCTTCAAAAAGGTTCGATTCTCCCTTTCAGGGCTGAAGTTTCTATTTTGTTGGGGGGTTGCTATATAACAAAATACTGGTAGCTACAAATAGATTATTGCAGCATTGTTACGGAAATGGGCGATGTGTCAACTCCAGCTTAACTGCAGGTCAACCTCGACGAATCATGATTGACACCGACCCAGGTCGGGCTGTCGGTGGAAAAGTCTGGTGCCCATGTGAGCCATGGTCAATACTCACTATATGGTTGATGGTCATCCCATCCATAATAAGGATCCTTATAATGGTTATTGTAAATCCCTATGAACCATTGGATGACTAGCCCCTATTAATGGTTATTAACCATGAGTATTGACCATAGCTCATGTGATAGACCATCAATAGATGGGCAAAACATTCGGGGGTCAATCCTCTATCTAGGGTCAAAGTCCTTGGATCGAAATGGATCGAACATTTCATGCCCAAGTTTTTCCCTCGATTTTTTTTCTTGGGAATTCCGGGGTGCCGCGGCGCCACAGTTTTCGGAGGCGTTGATGATGCGCTGGCCATTTTGTTGGCGTTGGCATCTCCGGACTCGTTGTGCGTGGAAGGTCTGTCCATCGCCCTGGGAAACGGCAAGGACTGGCATCTCAGTAAGTGGTTGATGTGGTTGTTTACAAGTCTGTTGTCTTTAGGAATCACCAATCCACCTGTTATGGATTATGAACCGGTTCAGTTAACTTAAACATTTTAAGCATTGGCAGAGTGGTGAGAAGCCAGGTGTTGCTGGAATAGCTTCCAAGTTGAGGGGCTGTTTTCAACATCTGCGACTCAGAGATTGGCGTTTTGTTCTATACTCTATACATTTTCATACTATGGATGCAAGAAATCCTGCACCAGTTGGTAGATGATGTAGATTCAATGTAGATAGTTTATCCACGTTTATCCCATGAGAATCCCACTATTTACAGTGTTTTTGATAGGGAATCCCATCCACTGGAGCAAATCAGATCGGGGCGATTTGCAGATTCCGCGCAGGACATTCGGTCACTAGGCGCCTCTGAGAGGGGGGAAGATAAACATGGCGCAACTGATACAACCACTGTACAATCATATCTATACTAATATAAACTAATATATATATATATATACTGTATATATATATATATACAATATTCTGTATATATATATAGGAAGTTAACTTTCTAACTCAATGATTTCGGTTCATGTTCGGCATGTTCACTTTTTGGAACCAGGCTTCGAGCCACGCCGGTTCACAGCATTTCCTCATTATCCCTGACACAACCTGATCAGGTTCCAACGCCAAGCTCTTGCTGCGCCTAGCGAATGCCTCTGTCCCAGTGAGCTTGGGGGAGGTGCCTAGCGAAGGCGACCCTTCCGAAGGTGTCGCTGGGTTGGCAGGGCTGTGGTTGGCAGACCTTTTAAGGGTGTTTTCAGAGATGTAAATATTGAACAGTGATACAGGATAATATGTATATATTTATATAATCATATATATATATGTATTATTATAATATATATATATACGTTATTATTATTATGATATATATATATATATGTATTATTATTATAATATATATATATACACACGCTATAATAATAATAATAATAATAATATATATATATATATTTTACATTATGTATTAGATAGTAGATATTATATAGACTATATATATATATATATACATACATAATACTTCTGTGGGTTTGTTGGTACCCCATTTTGGGGCGCCATTCCCACTAAACGGGGATCCGAAGTTGGATTTCCAATCAACAGCTATTCCCTGTCTTCTTGGCTTTCTCTCCGGAAGGTTGCCTTGTAAATCAGATTCAAATCACACTTGGCTTTTCCAATCCAAAAAAGGTCCTTTACAGTAACTTTACAGTTCAAAGATTCAATATGTATATATATATATTCCCAGAGATTATATATACACACACATATATATATGATATACACATATGATATATATATATATACATATATCACGTATATATATATATATTATAATATATATATAGATACACACATAATATGTTTTTGGTGCCCAAGAATTGCCAAACACGGTGCCTTCAAATGCCTCCAGGCGCCGTGGTAAGCAGAAAAGGGATGAAGCCACAACTGGTGCATGGGGCGGACCACTTGGGCAATGTGGGTGTCTCGGCGTGGAGCATCGCGGAGCACATGGTGATGGCCTTCCACCAGCACACCATCAAAGCAGAAACCACCTTGAATACTGTATCACGATGTATCAAGAACCAACATGATGATACTGGCATTTGTCCAAAAATGCGGTGTTCCCCCATTTTCTGGCCGCTTCAGTAGGATGATTCACAAATTTAACACATTGGATCTGGTGGTACCCAATTTTTGGAGAAACCAGTATCTACACTAGACTAGAGCACAATAGAGGAGCGCTTCTTCAATAAGACATGCCCGGAAATCTCAATTCGGACAAGCACGGATGCTATTGAATCGCTGAAATTTTGATCCCCCGTGTCGTGCTGGTGCCCTGTCAATGGAAAAACTATGACCCTTACCCAACTTTGATGGCTGAGGGAAGTTGTATGGAAAGTGCGACGCTGACTATCAGCACTTCCACCCGCTGCCTGCACCGGAATTCATGTACGATCTTTGCTCCCGTCGCTCAGCGAGAACGTCAAAACATGGTGTGATCCAGTCGCCGTCATCCCACAGTTATCTTATACCCTCTGGTAAACTAACATAACTATGGAAAATCACCATTTTTCATGGGAAAATCCACTATTTCTATGGCCATATTCAATAGCTATGTTAGTCATTACCAGAGGGTAGGCTTCGGGTTGACATCTTCAGTCGCCTCCTTGAAACCTCCGAGGTTTCCCTGGCGAAATGACCGTGGTTTGCATCGGTTCCCTGCACAATTTGGCCAAATGCCTCGAGTCCCATCCTGATTTGCCCAAACTGGTGCGCGACTAGGTGCAGAATCAGTTGGGGTTTCAGGTTTGTGGGGGACTTGAGCTGGAAATTCCTCACTTGAATGAGTTTTTTTTTGTCTCGGAGATCCCAGGAAAAAGCTTTGAACAGGACATTTGCCCAAAGATAGCCAAAGATCAGATTCATGACTTCGTGGAAGTTGTGGTTGGCCTGCCGATTTCCAACGTTGTACCTGCGGGTTGCAAAGAAACCAACCGGCCTGGAGTGTTTTATAAGCCCACCCAAGCAGCTGGAATATTTCTGTGTATACCGTGTTGTCAGCAGCGGATCTCCTGGATCTTGGTTTCGATGAAGTCCTAGATATTTGCTTCGCTACGTGCCAAGTTTTTTGTGGTCTCACCAGCCTCTTGTGTTAGACTTTCTCAGTTTATGGATTGTGATAATCCCCAACTAATTAATATTGGATAGTCTATATCAGTTATATATCCCCATATGTCCCTGGATTTTCCATGGTCAACACCCGTATGTATATATATATATGAGTATCAACTGTTATCAGCGATGATCCAATTCTTGTCCCCATTAAACCATACTATTACAACCATTGCAATTGGATAATACTTGGATAATCATCAAACATATTTGATAGCCATAGGGATAATATTTTGGCAGGATTAAATTCAATTATTATCATTTGTCCAACTATTAGGTTCCCACAAAGATGATTGAATTCCATGGGCATGATTAAATAAATCATAGGTATGATAAAATCACTGGCATTAGATCCAATCATTATCTACTTATTATCCAATGATTATCCCTATCAAAACCTATTCTGAAGCATTCTGAAGCCTATTCTTGTCAATTACTATCAATTACCATCAACCGTTAATGATGATCCATAATGATTACACCAATAATTGATAGCAATAAGTATCAACATAATGATCATCCATGATATCAATGGGAATTTCAGGATCCTAAAATGGAGGTACCTACCATATATAAGGCCTTTTTTTGAGGCCTAAATTTCAGGGAATATCCCCACAAAATATGGTGAACTCCCCCATAGATCGCCATAGATCCCCCGTTTTTTTCAGGTGAGGTGGTCGTCATGGGCGGCGCCTACGGTGAGCGCCGCGGCAACCGCACGCCCTGCGCGGAGGCGAACTTCTTCGACGGCCCAGAGGCGGCGCAGGCGGGGGTGGAGAAGATTGCTGTTATCACTTTGTGGGTGATAAATGGGGATGGGTCAAAACCCTATCCCCCTGGTGAACATCAAAATAGCTGGTAAATGGATGTTCATCCCCCTAAAAATGGTATGTATAGGTATTGATCCATAGCCAAATGAATGATTTTTATGGGTGATCTATATATAAATCGATGGCGGTTTTGAAAGCTCAAGATATGCTGGAGATGGATTTTTTTTCACATTTTGGAACCAAGAACATTGGGATTTTGTGGTATACTTACAGCCTTTCACGGGGTAAAAACCGGAGGAATATCTTCAAAATGCTGTTTTGTGGTTCATCACATTTTGGGAATCATCATGGGATGTAAGATGCATTGTTTGCACCCTGGAAATGGGCTTTGTTCTATTGATCCAGGGATATGACAAGCATTGTATCAGGTGAAATAAATAACCACCATATGGCGGTTTGCGTCAAAAGGTAAGGGCTGTTTGAGTCCTTCGATGCTGTATGACATTGATGAGTTCGTGTTTTGATTGGCGTGTTGGTTGTTGATTCAAAGACCCACCCCAAGTTCACCAGGCCGCTTTTGGATAGCTTGTGGAAAATCGGGAGTGTGTTTTCTACCACTTGTGGTTTTTAGTTCTTGCTGAACCTATAACAGGGTCCCTAGAATAGGGATCATTCTGCGTTTAACTCCCAGGTGAGCGGGATTAACTCATATGCTCATATGCTCATATAATGAACATATATGATATATGCAACATTCGTAAAGTTGATGGATGCAGTGTCCTTGCCAGTCCATATGCCATATGCAGTGCATTGTAAGGCTCCCAAAAAGCATCGACAGGTTTCCTGACAGGACCGGTCTCAGTGAAGAGCGGTGATAATTAGAGTTTTACTTGGGTTCATGGTACCTAATTCAAATGGGGATTGCTAGAATCCGCTCCATCCGAGATTCCCTACACTGTAAGGACTTTTGCATTTGTTTTCGCATGCAGGAGTTTTTGTTTGAAAGTTTGAATTTTGGCATTGCATTGAATTGCATTTTTGGCATTGCATTTGTGCACCAACATTTTTTGGAGCCTTTTTGACACTCCTTTGTTGTCATCGTGTTTTTCTCCAGATTTTGCATTTTATGATAAGTTTTGTGTTGACATTGTTCTAAAATGTTCTAAAGAATAAACCCAGAAGGTGCAAGCGACCACAACTTTGCAGTACCAAAACCAGTGGAAAGTTGCTACCGTAAATCATTGATGGCATCCAATAAATAGTTTGTTTTGTCGGAACCCGAGGCTGTGCTGACCGCAGACTTTCCCAAGATCGTGCTGGCAGGCCAGTTCCACACACTTTTCTCCGAAGATTTTTCCTTTTTTTGGTATCACAGACTGCCTCACTGTTTGCCCCCAAAATATTCATGGAGGGCCTGATAGTAGGCCTGATAGTATCTCAATGCATTCTGAGTATTTGCACGAACCAGGCTTGGATATCACCCACCAGACGGACATGCGGGTACTTCGGCAAGCTTGTGTTGAATCGCCAGCTCCTCTATCCCAATTTGTCTGGGACTTGTGCGAAAACTTCATGAATGTCTACCATGAGCCTTGGCCACATTGTAGATGCCTTCTCAAGAAACGGGCTTCCTGCATGATCATCACTGTCCCCATTATATAAAATGACTAAAAAACTGAGGTCTACCTACCTTGAACAAACCCAACTAGTATGTGCAAAGAACCTTGAAACTCTCGATCAACTTCTAAGGATTGGGGGGAGACTTTGGCTCCAGCGCATGACACTGTGCCTATCATGTGCCAATCTCAGCATCGCTTCGCGCAGCGAATTGACAAAAGGGCTCCCATTTTTGTTGACTCAGCGTAGGGTTTGGAAAAGCTTCTGGCAGGGAATCCCACATGTACTCATGTATGTACATTATATATATATAGATAATCATATTTGCTGATATCTGTATATACAATATAACAATGTGTGTGTATATACCGCCATATATATATACACACACACCATGAATCCCGTTGAGGTACCTCCTGCGGCCCGATCTCTTTGAGGGGCAGGAGGTTCGAGTAGAGGTGGAGACCCAGGGGTGTCTCACTCGTGGGATGTCCATCGCAGACTGGAAGGGCCAGTGGGGCAAAGCTGCCAATTGCGTGGTGCTTCGACGGCCCCTTGGCGCCGAAAGCGGTGAAGATGAAGATCCCATGATACAACAAGTTCCATCAATTTCCACCATATCAATAATGAAAATGATCGACTCATCTATTCATGACATATCAAAACTGCTAACTTCATGTGACATTGTGACCTGTGTTGATTCTTTTCATGTTTTTTTGTTTTCAGATGTTTAAAACGTGGTTTCACCATCACCGAGGATCCTGGACCCAGATGCCTACACGCAAAGCTTCGTGGATGCCATCGGGCGCCTTCCACGCAGTGACTAAGATGTGCTTGGCAAAATGCTACGGATGTGCGGCAAACGGATGGCTGCGTATTGTTGTCGATTTGGCACCAAATTGGATGTTGCTAGAGATGTTTGGTCTATGATTGTGTGCAGTGTATGAATATGAATGAATATCATATGTATATTGCTAACTGTATATCCATACGGTCCACATAGATATCATAACACTATATACACAAAGTACCTCATCATGTCGATTTTTTTCTCACAAGCGCGTAGAATACTGGATCAACAAATCGGTGGGGACGTTTTCTAATTAGTTTCGACTAGGACAAAGTCCATTGATGCAGAGTGTGGTGGAAAGCCAATGAGCCAATAAGTCGACATGAGTCGACGCTAGGAGTTTGTGGTTCGCTTCAACGATGCTGTGAACCAGCTACAAGCTTCCAAAGGGAGTCAAGAGGCGCGGAGCGATCTGAAAGATTTTGGAACAAGTTTGTTGAATGTTTGTCGATGCTTGAAGGAAAATGAAAGAAACCTGCTTTTGAGAATTCTCAGAGTCCAACGGTGTTACAGTGTTGTGCATTGCCATGAAACGAAGATTGACTTCTTCAAAGTGCTGTGCAGTTGAAGCTCCCAATACACTCACTATATAGCCTTGAGTATACAAGCTGGATACGAGCTGGTTGCAGTGCAATATATATATATGTATTCGAACATGTGCCAAGCGTACTACTGCTGAGTCGGACGACTTTTCCGCCAGCCCATTGCCTTCACACCGTTTTTGCAAAGAAGTTCGCATCATTCACACCAGGTTTGCGATGTTTGTTGGCGGTACTCCCTGATGGAAGGGCACCCCCCCTAGGTAGGTAAATTGGTGCATAACTCGACGAGACACAGTAAAATCTATTGTTGGATTGGTGAAGATAGATAATGATAGATAATGATAGATATATCATGATATATCTCTTCCATTACTATAACAGCCTTCGGCAATTCGCCGGCCCTCTGGCCTTTGGCCTACAGGCCCAAAGCAGGGGTTGTGTAAAGCTGGTTGGTGTAAAAGGTGGTTTGCGTAGAAGCTGGTGAGTGTAAAAGCTCATTTGTGTAAGAGCTGGTTGGTGTAAAAGGTGATCTGTGGAAACGCGAGTTTGTGTGAAAGCGGGTTCGTGTAAAAGCTGGTTGGTGTAAAAGTGGGTTTCTGCAAAAAGTGCTTGGTGTAAAAGAGTCTTTGTGTAAAAGCTGGCTGGTGTAAAAGTTCATGTGTAGAAGCTGGGGTGTGTAAGACCTTGGAGGTCAAACAGAAAAGAGTCAAGTTGGTAGATGCAAGCAAGCGGCGTGGCTGTGAGAGTGCATGTGGAGAAGGCCGTGAGAGCAGAGGAAGAGCAGGACTGGCAGGTGCGAATGGAAAGTGGGCACAAAAGCGGCAGGTTAGAACGCACTTCCGGCTGGAAGGGGTCAAGCATCCTGCAGGATCCGCGAAAGCTCTGCAGAACCCTGAGGAGAGCTGCGGAGAACCTGTTCGGCGGTCACCTCTGAGCGAGCAGTCGAGGTATATGTAGAGATTGGGAAGAGTGGGGGCAGGATGAAAATTTCGCGATTGAGATATCAAGGATAGTGGAAAAATGGGGATAATTGGGATAAAGAAGTTATCGCGAAATGATTTGTCATTTTCATGGAAGCTACAACCGGGGCCTTTATAGATATTGCAAATAGGAAGCGATATTGTTCATCTGACCGCCCATGGGGGGAGTGACACATAGTGACACGCTCGCGGAAGTTTCCAAAAGCACATCCCCATGGATGGTACTTGTAGATGCGGACATACTAGATATTACAACTCGTTGTGAGGGAGCTAAGGCTGCTAAGGGGGCTTTGCAGAGAGTAAGCACAGTGCCGTTTCTCCCAAGAATATGCCAAGAAAAATCAGAAAAAACAATAAGAAAAGAGAGCGTAACTGCACCAAGAAGATAACCACCAATACCCTCTGGTAATTTAACATAGCTATTGAAAATGACCATTTATAGTTGATTTTCCCATTAAAACATGCCATTTTCAATAGCTATGTTAAATTACCAGAGGGTAATAGAAAATAAATTGGATTAATTGGTGCTTACCTTGCTCGGTGTTGCCGTCTGTATTATCCTGTTTTTAGTTACACCTCCCTGGGTAATCATTCATTCTTTTAATGGGAACACGTGGAAGGAACAGTACTTGGTGAAAAAAACCTTTCAAGTCTGTTTTTTTTCGGCTCTTAATTAGCAGCTTGCGACCAAAACTATCACAAGATGTATCACAAGAACATCCACAAAACACGCCGGCAGGCCGGCGGATTTCCACACAATACTTTCATTCCATGACTATATATCATTATATCTATATCTATATATCTATGCCTGGGGGGCCCTCCTCTTCAGCCTGAGGCTCCCGCTCCAAAACCACCAGTGGATGGCTTCGCACGAGGTGCGCGCAAGGCTGTCCCTTCAATTTGAGGTCAAGCGATGAATGTCAGGATACCCTCTGGTAATTTAACACAACTATGGAACATCACCATTTTTCATGGGAAAACTCACTATAAATGGCCATTTTCAATAGCGTTGTGGCCATGGCCATCATGGCGTCCAGGTCTTGTAGAGTCCCAGAAACGATTTCAGCGGCTGCTGCGGCGCTTGCCGGCCGAGGCCATGCCGCATGCCCATGGCGTGAACGCCGTTTTAGGATAGAACGAGGCCCTTGTAGGAAGGCTTGAACAAGGGATTAATATTATTAAATTATTAATTATCAAGGCTCGTGATCGCCCTGAACAAGAATAGTTACTATAGTTGAGATGAATATCCAGTGAGTTTTTGTGTGTTTTCGGGAATGGTTTTAGAGTGGCCAGATTTTGGTCGCGGTGCTCCAGAAAGTCAACGGGTTTTGTTCCGCGTGGAAGGGATGCACCATAGCCTCTTTTTTTCCATGCCAGTGACTCCCAAATTCTGCGGGGTTTTGAATCCACTCTCTACAGCAAAGGATTCCAAAGTATTCTAAAGGTACCCTCTGGTAAACTAACATCACTATAGAAAATCACTATTTATAGTTGATTTTCCCATTGAAAATGGTGATTTTCTATAGTTATGTAACAGTTTACCAGAGGGTACATGGCTGCACTGCAGGTGAATTGGAGTGACGAACAGTTTCACTCCGCCTTGCGGGAACTGCAGAAGGAGGACCACAGCAGATTTGATTTGTCAACTTGCGCAACAAAGGCCAAGTGCGCATGGATTACCTAAGAAGTTTCGAAAACTTGAATCCTCTACGTCCCATAAAAAAAAGCCCAACGTTGAGGATCAAAGAAACCCTTTCCACATGATTTGGTGTTCACCAGGAGATTGGCTTTTGACCCATAGATCCATGCTTTAGTGACTGAGTTCAAACGTTTGTTGCTGAAACATTTTCAGTCTTGGCCTGAGTTGAATACCCATTCCACCCACAGTCTTTGTTGATTTTTTGTTGGGTGAAAGTCCCACATGCGGTGGCTTAAAGAGCATCATGGTGTCATTTCCTTGTTTAACACCATTATATAAAAATATATAAACTCGGTTTTTGAGCAGCAAATCTCCCAGTTCTTTCCGAAAAAACTCCAAGTTTGGCTTAACAGGTTTTTTTTCAACACGGACTCCTGAGGTTTTTTGGGCAAAAGATGGAATTATAATTCTTCAGCAGTGACCAGTTGACCCTTGGTTGATTCGTGTTTTTCACTTCACGACTGGGGTAATTCACCTACCTGGTTTATTTGGGCATGACCGAAAAACATCCTCCGTGGGGAATCTCGCAGACTGGGACCATTTGCGCCTGGGAGGAACTCTTCGCTTTAAGCGATATCATCCATCCTTATCCAATCCCATTCTGGCAGTATGATTGAGGGTTCCCAGCACATTCTCACCTGGGATTGGCCTTAAAATACCATCCGAAACGGAGATGGTTTGATCGCCAAGTGCACAGCGGAAGGTGATTTTTTTCCCCCTACAGTAACCCTCCGAAAGAAAAAATATCAGTCCTTACCTCCAAAGTTCCGTAGGATTTTGCAAGGTGAGGACCCCCAGTTATAAGATCTTGTAAGTTAGTTTACAAAGCCATGACCTATAGTAGACTATGAGTCAAATCATGTTATATCAAGATACTATATTACTATATAGGTTGGTTTACGTAGCCATTAACATCCATTAAAACTATAGTAGACTCTAGTTCTATCGCCCAGAAGCATATATATATATATAGTATTATACATTAGCTCTATGGTAGTTTCCTAAAATAGGGGTATCCCTAAATCATCCATTTATAGATTGGATGTTCCGTTTTTTAGGAAAACTTCGTATTATGGTCTCCCTCACCCCAAAACGTCTTCCCAGAGGAGGAGCAGCTGCTTCCAGAGGTGCAACGCCTGACCAAAGACGTCCAGGCCTTGCAGCGCGAAGCAGAGCCGGACGGCCCAGGGGGGAGTTGCCATGGCAGGCATGACATGATAAGGAAACTCAGCAAACATAGGGGTTTCAGGTGTTTCAAGATATATTTCATTGTATCGTATGATTTATGTATATATGATATTATGTTATATTATGTATTTTTTCCCTTCTATATAAAATTAGCTTTTATATTGTATGAGATCATATTTTACCATATTATAGTGTATGATAGTATATGATATCAAATTTTATCATATCATATCATATCATAATATATTTTAGTAAAATATAATAGAATATAATATTTTACTATTATAATCTGTTATATTCTTTGATATTTCCTCTATATATTATATTATCTTACATTTTATTTGAATTATACAGTATTATTTTAGATTTCATTATATTATAGTATAATATATCATAATACAATATATTATATTTTATTATATTATATTTTATTATATTTTATAATATAATATAATATAATATTATATTATACTATATTGTGTTATACTATATTAGATTAGATTAGATTATTTTGTTATATATATATATTTAGATTATATTTTGTTTTACTGTATTGCAACATGGTGTTTATATTGTATTATATTATATTTATTAGATTGTATTATATTGTCTAATATCCGTAATAATTTATTCTACTGTAATATATTTTTTCAAATTACACACACACACCCACATATATATATATCATATTACTATATATTATATATTTTTACATTATATATATACACTATTTCACTATGTATTATTTTCAAAGTGTATTACTTCTTTTGATTTATATATTGTATTAACATCTATATGATTTTATATTTTATTAGTTTATATTCTGTATCATGTAATATTACATTATATTATATTATATTACATTATACTATATTACATTTTTATTTTATTTTATATTTCAATATTTCATTCTATTTCATTACAATCTATATTATTATAGTTTATCATGTTATATTTTATGACATTACATTATATTTATTATTAGTCTGGTATGATTTATTTTAATATTATTTTGTTAATTGTATTATATTATATTATGTTATGTTATGTTATGTGTTTTTTTTTTTAAAAAATTATATTATACTATATTTTATTATATTTTATTATATTATATTGTACTATATTGCATTACACTATATTATATTATATTTTTAACCGTTATATTTATTGTATTGCGTTGCGTTGCATTGCGTTGCGTTGTATTGTATTATATTGTATTGTATTGTAGTGCAGTATAATATTTTCTATTCTATAACCCATAGTTGTCCTTTTTCCCGTTGGTTAGCTGACCAATACACCCAAACTGTCCAAGCTTGCCGTTTGATGTGCAAGAAAATCAGGGAATGGCTATGGAAAATGGCACAATTATAGATGGTTTACCTATGAAGATTGTGATTTTCCATAGCTATGTTACTTACCACAATGCAAGGCCAGCATTTTTTGTGAGAACATACAGAAGTGCCAAACGCAGAGACGACGTGCAGGCACTGTCACGGTGGCTGGAATTGTTCGCACCGCAGCAGGGTTCAGCAGACTCCTAAGAGACCTATACATGACAGACATGCGATGAAATGCGACAGCAACATTGCCTGGGCTTATGTTTTTGTCACGTCACACTACCAAGTTGTAGAGGCTGAGGGTCCATTCAGGCGGATTGAAGCTCATGGCTGCTGTGGCGCCCTGTGCTTACTATGGCTGCGGCTGTGGGCAGCCGGGTCACATTGCCGCCTTCCAACAAAGTGGAATGGCGTATCCAACTTATGCACATCAAGATCCTCCTGTCAAGCTTCGCTTGCGCCGCCTGTTGCTTGAGTTGAAACCCCTGGAAGAAAAGTACTGGGAAGCACAGCAGCTGGTGCAGCAGATGGCTGTCCATGAAGTTGGTATTTGGGTCCAAGCAATCCTGGAGAAGCCTCTGCCAATGCACTGGATGCATAACCTGAGCATTCACATTCTTGCAGAACTTCTTCAGCTACATCCAGTTATTGTGACTTCTGAGTTCGGCAAGGTGGGTACGGTTCAAGATTAATTAAACATACTCTGCAAATTGGATGGGTTTGCAAGAAAACGACACGACTGCTGTAATTTTGTCGGTTCAGTTTTTGAGCCATGGCCAGGTGAAAAAGAACGTCGCATGGCTCTTCCCAGAAGACGGAGATGTGGACCTGGCAGCGGCCTTTTTTCGAAATTTCCTTTGGACAAAAGAGACCATGGGCCAAAACACCAAGAGTGAAGCCTACAAGTTTTCAAAGCTGCTGTTAAAGTACACGAAGCAAAAGGACCTCTGCAGAGTGCCAGCGTGTAGTGCGAGAGCTTGGTTGGTCCACATCTGGCAAGATGTGCCTTCTACGCGTCCGAACCTAGATTTGTTGGTGATCTGTGTGGTGCGCTGGCTCGCAGACCCTTGTGAGACACAAGGACGTCGTTTCAAAAGGATTCCATACAAGCAGCGGAAGTCAAAGCCAAAGACTTGGTCCCTCAAACTATCAATCTGACTTTTCAACTTTCCAATTTCTGCTGGTTGAGCCTCCACCTTTTCCTGGTTCAATTCCTGGTTGAATCACCGTCTCTTGCTATCTGTTTGCCTTGTTTTGGACCCCCTTGAAACCTTGAAGGAGTAAAAGCTGCCTGCTTGAAGGTTCTCGGCGAGGAAACGGCTCAACTTCAGCCTGCAGACTTGGAAACATGGATAATCTCGTTGCTATTTCAGGAGGTGATGGGGTTAAACGGTCAAAAGCCAAAAAAACGCCAAATTGGAATGAAGATGTTGCACAAAAAATAGTCATTGGAATCGGAATATTAATTTACAGTAGGTCATTACACTCGTTTTTCCACTTGAATTGGAACATAGGGTCATTACCCTGCTAGAAAATGGATACACTTATATAAATGAACAGAACATAATCCCAGCATTGGATTAATAGACTCTTCTATTCATTCTTTGGGGCTTCAGCAGGGTAAAAAGGGATTTTGAATGGTTGTGACACTTCGCAGGTCTGTCGCCATCCAATGCAGCATTCACCAGATTTGCAGCAGCTTCTGTGGCCTGGTGATTTTTACCTAAACTTTGATATCCTTCTTTATCCAACTTTTTTGCGACAGCTATACCGGGCTAGACTGGTCTAGTGAGTCTAGTGGTTTGGATGAGTTCACAAGGAGCTTATGAAAGCTGCCAACCTTCCAAGGTGCCTGCTCCATGTTCCGCCGCGCCCATCATCAGTGAGATGTTTGCTCGGGTCTTCCCAGGATCCGGGCTATTTGATGACCCTATGGGGTTGCTTATGCAACTGGTCGCCCCAGGGCCCTTGGATGTCAGGGCAAGCTTGTGAAGCTTGGTGCCGGGCCGGACCTCCGCTATATGCATTGCTTCGTGCGATGCTGGTGGCCTTCTCCCAGCTGCCGGACTCCAGGAATTTATGCCGCTCAGCCATTATGGCTTTGGCTGCGTTGGGAACAAGCAGTTCAAGCATTTCCACCCAGGCGCCTGCCTTGCTGCTTATGCTCTTTCATGATGGGCCTGTACTTCCAGCAGAGGTGTGGATGCCTCTTTTGCCTCTTTTGGACTATTTGTCCCAGTTTTCAGAGCAGGCGGTAGAATTGGGCACCAGATTGCGTTCATTGGCGAGTGGAGGATTCTGGACTGCACCACGCTTGGGAGGGCAGATGGCCAGTCCGCCAAATGGACAGATGCAGGCTCAGTTAGCCACTTTTCAGACCGCGCCAGGCGCAACTTGGAGCCAATGTGAACAAAAACAAATGGGAACCCATCAATGTCACCAAGCACACGGTCAAGGGTGGCCGCAGGAATACCAGACATGCCACCCAGCTCCGCCAAAACAAGCGCAGGGGGCACAAGGCTGCATGCAACCGTTCACAACACAAACAGAGTTTCACACATTACCCCAACAGACATCAAAAGCAGTGACGCACATGCAGCCCAGTGTTGGACTGCAAAACACCAACAACACCTGCTACGTGAACAGTTTCATACAGGCACTCTTCCTCACTGACGCCTTTGTATGGCGCATCTATGACTTCACCCTGAAGCTGAAAGCCAAGGCATCCAAAATTGACGAGGAGGACTTTGAGTTCGGAAAGAAAGTAGTGGAGTTGCTTCAAAAGCAGTTCGCCAAAATGGCATTGACAAAACACCAGCATACGGACATTTGGGACATCCTGCAGGCATTTCCCGCAGACTATCGTTCCGGTGAGCAGCAGGATGTGACCGAGACGATTCGTTTCGTGTTTGACAAACTTGGTGGAAGCGACCAAGATTTGCTGAGGGAAGTCTTTGCAGGCCAGCTGCAAGAGAAAATTCAGTGTCGGGAGTGTGGGAAGATCAAGGTTCGCGAGGAGACCTTTACAGATCTGGTGCTTCCGGTGCCCACTGCAGAGCAGGCCAAAGAGAGTGGCATCGTGCCAACCATGCAGAAGCTTCTTGAGGAGCGCTTGAAGTGTGAGGAGATGGACGACCCAAACAATCTGGTCACCTGTGAAAATTGCCAAAAGAAGACATTCGCCGTGAAGTGGAGCGAAATCACTCGACCACCACCACATCTCTGCCTATGCCTCAATCGCTTCACCTTTAACATGCAGACCTACGACTTTACCAAGGAGAAGACGCCGGTGAAGATAGATGAGGGCTTGTGGATTGGCGGCTACGAATATGAGCTGTACCATACGATAATTCACACCGGCAAGGATGCTTCGAGTGGACACTACTATGCTATGGGAAGAAGATCGGAGCCCACGGTCAGTGGAGATTGCGCATTTTACACCATGGATGACTCCCAGATCAAAGAAGCTGATGTCTCCCTCTTGGCAGGGAACCCTCCCGAGAAGCTTTTGGATGACAACGCATATGTTCTTTTCCTCCGGTGCAAGCAGGCGCCACCTACCCCTGAATTTCGAATCCCGTTGTCTCTTGTAGAGTATGTAAAGAAGCAAGACAAGAAGCAATGAGTAAAGCCGAACTGAAGATGGTGACTCGCGGTGTTTCGCAGCCTCCTTTTAGTTTAATCTTTTGTGAGGCTCCTTTGGTACCTTGCACAGTCTCGAGATATCTATCCATGTCCTGTCTTACCGCAAAAAAGTGCTTCTTCGGAAGTAAGGGGACGGCTTCCATATGCACTGGTTAGCTATCATTTTCCCGATTCACAAAGATTGAAGAACATACCCCAACAGAGAAGAAGATGATGAGCCAGTGGAATCAGATGTTTTTTTTTTTCCGTCTCGTGTTTTTCTTACTGGCCTGTTGTTTTTTTCCCGGGAAGAACAAGGAAACCACGTGATTTATGGGAAGAAAACCTGGTTTCCGGTGAAGATTTTCCCTCCCAACGGATTTCGCCAGCTCTGAGGACTCAGCTCTGTGAGCTGACGGGAGAGTTGGGTGCCCCAGCTTGGCGAGGTATATTCGAAGAAATTATGGTTGTAAAAGAAGAGCTGATTTGGGGCGAAACAAATGATTTTATGTTGGGTTCAGGCATTTTGACAGCTGGGAGACTGATGAATACTGAGACTGAGGCATGGTGATCATGGTGGAAAACGAGAGAAGAACCAACCATTTTGTAGGTTTTTTATGTTTTTTTTAATATGTTTTTATGTTGATCCTGCCCCAGGAAATCGTGGAGTCAGGGCCAGACTTGACCAAGGCTCTTGGGTGCCGGCTTCGCAGAGCCGGAGACTGCAAGGCGAGAACCAGAAATGTCGAAACCAATCGAAACCTGGTACGCTGTTGTACGCAGTACATTTCACAGATTTCATAGCGCAGAAAGTTCTGATTTGTGATTAAGATGCTCTGAGATTTATTGACCATCCATGCCCCTGTTGAATCTAAGTTCTGCAAGGCCCGTGGCTGCAGACCCACCCAAAAGCAGTGGATCCTGTGTGAGACTGCAAGACTTGGCGCAAGACAGGCCAGGGTTTCACAGCTGATTTGGTGGAACTTCGGAACTTCAGCTGACACACCGATGTGACATTCAAAAATCAACAGGAATGCTGGTTCTTTACCCACGATTCAACCAACAAACTTTGGGATTTAACATGATTCACAATGATTCGATTCAACCAAAAAAACTGGAAATTTAAGATGATTCCACGAGCAAAAAATAAGAGATTCAGCAAGATTCAAGCAACCAAAAAGGGGATTTGAGACATGATCCAACCCATAAATCCAGTAACATTAGTTTTGTTCGTCGTTTGGCACTGTCCACAGTGAAATAGTGGAGGATTTTTTCGCCTGTGGCTTTGAAGCTACCTGGACTCTGGATCGAAATTCTATGTTGCCGCATCGTCCAGAAGTCCAGGAAAAATACATTTTAAACTTTGAAACATTTTTTTTTTTGCATCGTTTTGCACCATTTTTATCGAGCTTTCGAATCATCTCTGCAGGTCGCGTCGCTTCGCAGAGGAATTGGAGTTTGTGCAATGCTTGGCGAACCCCAGCTACGTGTGCGGGTCCCCAGGATGTGCCAACCTTGGTGGTGTCCGGCTGCTTCAGTTGTGCTTTGGCGCAACATAACAGGCTCCCGAGATGCTTGTCACTTCTCTGTTGAAAGGTGATGGCAAGGTCGCTGAATGTATTTTTCTTATATCATGTACGTATTATGATATATAATTAATGATATGTGTAATATATATATATATATATATATAAAATTATATATATAGATATAAAATACACAGCCTTGGACTGGAAAGGTCACCCCAGACTTCGTCCATCTTCACCTTGAGCCTTTTGGAATCTTTTGGAGAACTGGTGTGAGGCAGTGGTTGGCCACTGAGGGCTTTTTTCGCGAGCCCGGCTTTCAGCGATTTCTGGAGTACCTGCCACAAGCCCAGTGGAACAGTGGAGCAATGGAGCCCCACACCGATTTCGCGGGTTTCGCGGCATCGCCAAGGACCTACTGGCGACGTCCTCAATACGTTCGCTATGCAGGGACACCCAAAAGTGACCCACGGTCGTTGAAGATGCGCTTGATGCTGGGCTGTTCTGACATGCGGCATTGCCCAAATACTTGAAACAGAACATCTTGGAACATATTAGAAACAGATAGTCTGTATCCTTCGAAAAAAATCAAGGAATCCAGTCTGACACCTCCTTGGTTTCAACATGTTTCACCCAACAACCAACCCAGGGCCTGTTATCCTCCGCGCCAGATCGTGTATCCCCAATGTCTGGCGGTCTTGGACCTCCTCCTACGACCTGCCGTGGGATCCCCAGTGATCACCATAGGTTTCAATACGAGTTGTGGTCATCCATGACGACTGGATGGGGCCCTGGGGGTAGCCCCATGCCAAAATGGAACCCCCCCATTTAAGTCCTACTCAAAATGTACCACACCTGAAGAGGGCATGAACAGACCATCAAGCTGCTGACATGTGTTTTCATGACACTCTGGTAATCAGTTTCATGGAACATCAGCCAGCAATAGGACGAGGATATTTTTCCCAGAAAAAAACTACACCTCCATTTAGTTCAGGGATTTTCTCATGGATTTTCTCATGGATGTTCCCGTCTCGAAAATTTCCAGGTGCGGCTGCGCTTACAGCGTGCCGACGTCATCAGCATCTTAGCGGAGCAGCTGCAGCATGCCTGGGGACAGGCAGATGAGGCCCAGCGGCCTCGGTGCTGGTCATACACCAGCAGTCAACATATATAGGTCACGACTATATACCCTCTGGTAATGGCTGACATAGCTATTGAAAATGGCCATAGAAATAGTGAGTTTTCCCATTAAACATGGTGATTTTCCATAGTTTTTTGTATATTTACCAGAGGGCAATTAAAGTGCCAATGATGGTTGAACCCATATCTAGACTATCTATTCCTTTGATTTACTAGTTCTAATATCCACTTAGTAAATGGTTTATCATTATTGACCTACAATTAGAACTATTACTAACTATATAAGACTATATATATATAAAATAGACTTATAGAACTACAATTGTTAATTGTTCGTGGTAAAGATAACTATTACCGACAGATTTACTATAATGTGGGACTACTATAATGGGAACTGGTGAATTAGTGGAACATGATTTATTGGGGATATCAATTGAGGATTGATGGTCCCACTAATAATGGACATTAATACAGTAGTATATTAATGGATATACGGATTTGTCCACGGGAACATGTTTTTTATCTTGGAGGATCATCCCTTTTTTGGTAACTGCTTAGTACATCTAAGTAGGATCCATGATAGATAGTGGACCGGCACCCCAAACCAAAGCTCCATGGATCGTTCGGGGATTTCCGAGCGTGTCATCTGATTGGAGTGTAGTGACCACAACGATTTCCGAACATGGGGACCTCAGGACCTCATACATGGATAACTGACTGTAATGAATGGGGATATACTAAAAATGGGCATTGACTCTAATGGGGACAGAGTTTTTCAGATTATTTGAAGAATATCTGATGTTAATAGTGGACTCAACCTTAGAAAGTGACCATTATAGTCATCCCGTGATCCCCAAGAAGATAGAAGTTGATGACATTTGATGACATCATTCCAAACCACTGCTATATATATACATATTGGGGAGTTACTATCATGGGCGGATAGAGATTAATGAATGTTTTTTTTTTTAGCAACAATGAATGTATAATAATTGATGGAGATATCCACGATTTAAACAATCACATCGAAATTTGACGTGGATGGATGTAAGTGACCAGTTTTACTGGGGTTATATCATTGGATGGATAGCCAGGGGATTACCAACCAACATCAACCAGAATTAACCAGATGGTGGGTTTATGTGTGAACATTTTAAGGGGAAAGCATCCTAATTTCATGGTGAATCGTCATTTTCCCTATCTATGTTGTGCATCCTAGGGATCTATACTGTATATATGTATATATGTATATATATATATATGTATATATATATATATATGTATATATATATATACATAGGCGCCATTTTCAGACATATCCATTTCATGCTTTCCATATTTTTGCCATTCTACAAGGGATGAGAGCAGAACCGACTTGAACTTTCGGACGGGGTAAGATTTTTGAAGGAAGATCCATGGATTTTCCCCCAACAGCAGAATGCTTTGGGGTCTTCAGCCATAGTAAAGGTTTTCGGAGCAGACCGGAGCAGCTCCAAAACCCATTCCCCCAAGGTTCCCAGGTTCCAAGTAAAGGTTCCCATTTAAAGGTTCCCAAGTAAAGGTTCCCAAGGTTCCTCAAGGTTCCCTCAAGGTTCCAAAAAGGTTCCCAAAAGGTTCCCTCAAGTCCCTCAAGGTTCCTTCAAGGTTCCCTGCAAGGTTCCCAAGTTTTCCAAGTAAAGGTTGTCAAGGTTCCCAAGATTATTATGTAAAGGTTCCCAAGTAAACGTGGTCCAGGTTCCCAAGGTGACATTGTAAAGGTTTCTATAAGATTCCCAAGGTATCCCAAGGTTAGATTGTCAAGGTTCCCTCAAGGTTTCTTCAAGGTTCCCTGAAGGTTTCTTGAAGGTTTCCTCAAGGTTCCCTGAAGGTTCCCAAGTTTTCCAAGGTTCCCAAGGTTGTATTGTAAAGGTTCCCTCAAGGTTCCCAAGGTTACATTGTAAAGGTTCTCAAGGGTTCCAAGGTAATATTGTCAAGGTTTCCTCAAGCTTTCCAAGGTTGCATTGTAAAGGTTCCCTCAAGGTTCCCAAGGTTACATTGTAAAGGTTCTCAAGGGTTCCAAGGTTATATTGTCAAGGTTTCCTCAAGCTTTCCAAGGTTGCATTGTAAAGGTTCCTCAAGATTCCCAAGTTTCCCAAGTAAAGGTTGTCAAGGTTCCCAAGGTTGTATTGTAAAGGTTCCCTCAAGGTTCCCAAGTTTTCCACGTAAATGTTCTCAAGGTCCCCAAGGTTATTATGTAAAGGTTCCCAAGTAAATGTCGTTCAGGTTTCCAAGGTGACATTGTAAGGTTTTCTATAAGTTTCCCAAGGTTAGATTGTCAAGGTTCCCTCAAGGTTCCCAAGGTTTAACCGCAAAGGTTTCCTCAAGGTTTTCAAGGTTTCCTAGTGAACGTTCTCAAGGTTCTCAAGGTTGCATTGTAAAGGTTGCCTCAAGCTTCCCAAGGTTGCATTGTAAAGGTTCCCTCAAGATTCCCAAGTTTCCCAAGTAAAGGTTGTCAAGGTTCCCAAGGTTGTATTGTAAAGGTTCCCCCAAGGTTCCCAAGTTTTCCACGTAAATGTTCTCAAGGTCCCCAAGGTTATTATGTAAAGGTTCCCAAGTAAATGTCGTTCAGGTTTCCAAGGTGACATTGTAAGGGTTTCTATACGTATATAAGTTTCCCAAGGTTAGATTGTCAAGGTTCCCTCAAGGTTCCCAAGGTTTAACCGCAAAGGTTTCCTCAAGGTTTTCAAGGTTTCCTAGTGAACGTTCTCAAGGTTCTCAAGGTTGCATTGTAAAGATTGCCTCAAGCTTCCCAAGGTTGCATTGTAAAGGTTCCGTAAAGATTCCCAAGTTTCCCAAGTAAAGGTTGTCAAGGTTCCCAAGGTTGTATTGTAAAGGTTCCCTCAAGGTTCCCAAGTTTTCCACGTAAATGTTCTCAAGGTCCCCAAGGTTATTATGTAAAGGTTCCCAAGTAGTAATATTCGTCGTAATATATTAATTTCTTGAAGAAATTTGAATGCGGCTACACGCGCGGAACCCGCGAAAAACGCAGACGCGCATGACGCGCATAACGCCCGGAAACCGCGCGAAACATAGACGCGCGGAACCCGCGCGTACTATTAATACTTCTAGTAGTAGTAGTAGTAGTAGTAGTAGTAGTAGTAATAGTAGTAGTAGTAGTAATGATAATGATATCGTAGATGTAGTAGAAATGATACTAATTGTAATATTGGTTAAATTACAATTAGTAGAAGTAGTAGTAATATTCGTCGTAATGTATTAAGTTCTGGAAGAAATTTGAATGCGACGACGCGCGCGGAACCCGCGCAGAACAACACGGGCGGATCCCGCGCGAAACGCAGACGCGCACAACGTGCGGAACCCGCGCGTACTATTAATTCTTCTAGTTCTAGTAGTAGTAGTAGTAGTAGTAGCAGTAGCAGTAGCAGTAGCAGTAGCAGTAGCAGTAGTAGTAGTAGTAGTAGAAGTAGTAGTAGTAGTAGTACTAGTAGTAGTACTAGTCGTAGTCGTCGTAGTCGTCGTAGTCGTCGTAGTCGTCGTCGTAGTCGTCGTAGTCGTCGTAGTCGTCGTAGTCGTCGTAGTCGTCGTAGTCGTCGTAGTCGTAGTCGTAGTGGTAGTGGTAGTGGTAGTGGTGGTGGTGGTGGTGGTGGTCATAGTAGTAGTAGTAGTAGTAGCAGTAGTAGTAGTAGTAGCAGTAGCAGTAGCAGTAGCAGTAGCAGTAGCAGTAGCAGTAGCAGTAGCAGTAGCAGTAGCAGGAGTAGTAGTAGTAGTAGTAGTAGCAGTAGCAGTAGCAGTAGCAGTAGCAGTAGCAGTCGCAGTCGCAGTCGCAGTCGCAGTCGCAGTCGCAGTCGCAGTCGCAGTCGCAGTCGCAGTAGCAGTAGCAGTAGCAGTAGCAGTAGCAGTAGTAGTAGTAGTAGTCGTAGTCGTAGTCGTAGTCGTAGTCATAGTAGTAGTCGTAGTAGTACTAGTAGTAGTAGTAGTACTAGTAGTAGTAGTAGTCGTTGTCGTCGTCGTCGTCGTTGTCGTCGTCGTCGTAGTAGTAATGTAGTAATAAAGTAGTAGTAAAGTAGTAGTAGTAGTAGTAGTAGTAGTAGTAGTAGTAGTAGTAGTAGTAGTAGTAGTAGTAGTAGTATAGTCGTAGTCGTAGTCGTAGTCGTAGTCGTATTCTTAGTCGTAGTCGTCGTAGTAGTAGTAGTAGTAGTAGTAATAGTAGTAGTAGTAGTAGTACTAGTAGTACTAGTAGTACTAGTAGTACTAGTAGTAGTCGTAGTAGTAGTCGTAGTAGTAGTCGTAGTAGTAGCAGTAGCAGTAGCAGTAGCAGTAGCAGTAGCAGTAGCAGTAGGAGTAGTAGGAGTAGTAGTAGTAGTAGTAGGAGTAGCAGTAGCAGTAGCAGTAGCAGTCGCAGTCGCAGTCGCAGTCGCAGTATCAGTAGCAGTAGCAGTAGGAGTAGTAGTAGTAGTAGTAGTAGTCGTAGTCGTAGTCGTAGTAGTCGTAGTAGTCGTAGTAGTAGTCGTAGTAGTACTAGTAGTAGTCGTCGTCGTAGTAGTAGTAGTCGTCGTCGTCGTAGTAGTAGTAGTAGTGAAGGAGTAGTGAAGTAAGTAGTAGCAGTAGCAGTAGTAGCAGGAGTAGTAGTAGTCGTCGTCGTCGTAGTCGTCGTAGTAGTAATGTAGTAATAAAGTAGTAGTAAAGTAGTAGTAGTAGTAGTAGTAGTCGTCGTAGTAGTCGTAGTAGTCGTAGTAGTCGTAGTAGTCGTAGTAGTCGTAGTAGTCGTCGTCGTCGTAGTAGTAGTAGTTATTAGTAGTAGTTATTAGTAGTAGCTGGTAGTAGTTAGTAGTAGTTAGTAGTAGTTAGTAGTGGTTAGTAGTAGCTAGTACTAGCTAGTAGTAGCTAGTAGTAGTAGTAGTAGTAGTAGTAGTAGTAGTAGCAGTAGCAGTAGCAGTAGTCGTACTAGCAGTAGTAGTAGTAGTAGTAGTAGTAGTAGTAGTAGTA